TTGCCCTAGGCATTGAGGTGGCAGGGGGTGACAGCCCTGAACTGCTTCCTGAACTGCTGTGGTGTTGACCTGGGCACAGGCAAATGGAGAATGATCTTAACCTGTTCTTCAGACCACACAGGGGTCCTTGTGTAAGCTCCGTAAGGGATTTGTAGGTCACCAGCATTTATCAGTGATAAATGGGGCCACCATGCCTTCCTGCATACACTGTCCTGTCAGCTACTTCCTTTTATTCCCATGCAAAATTATAGGTAGGAGAAGTATAGAAGCTCAGAAAGAACCAAGGAAGAACACAAAGAAGCAGGCAGAAATATTTTCTGGTCTGTGTGGGAGGTATTCAACATTCAGGTACCTTCAACCGAGCAAGAGGAAATTAACCAATCAAGACATATTTTCATAGTCAAGATGTGGTATTTATACACAATGGAATTCTACTCAGCCATGAAGAAGAATGAAATCTTGTCATTCTCAAGTAAATGGATGGAACTGGAGAACATTATCTTAAGCGTAGTTAGCCAGGCTCAGAAGACCAGAAATCGTATGTTCTCCCTCATATGCGGACTTTAGACCTAATACAAATGCAGTAATACTATTGGACATGGGTAACATGCCAAGGGGAAAACTCTTACAGGAGGAATAGAGAAAGGCAGGAAACACTTGAAAGTGTTTGATGTGCCCACTGTAGAGGAGCAAATAATCTCAAACTGACAGAGGCCACTATGGAAGGAGACCAGGAAGTGGTGAAGAGGTCTGGCAGAGATGAACAAATGTGGGTTGTAATACACTTGTGCATGGAAGCAATGCTAGGAATCTCTCTGTGTAGCTATCGTTACCTCAAACTAGCAAAAACGCTATGTCTTTCTTATTATCTCTTATGTTTTCTCTTCAACAAAATTGGAGAAGAGGGCAGAACAGGTTCTGCCTGGAAGCAAAGGGGGTGGGAGGAAGGAGGAGGGGTGGTGTGTGTGTGTGTGTGGGAAAGATGGCCGAAACAGTGTATGCACATATGAATAAAGTGAATAAACAATTTTTAAAAAGGCTTATTTTCAGCATTGGTGGCTCACACCTGTAATCCTAGCTACTCAGGAGGCAGAGATCAGGAGGGTTGAGGTTTGAATCCAGCCCAGGCAAACAGTTCCCAAGACTATATGAAAAAAACCCATCACAAAAAAGGCTTGTGGAGTGGCTCAAGTTGAAGGCCCTGAGTTCAAGCCCTAGTACTGCCAAAAGAAAAAAAGGATATATTTTCATCCCAGTTACTAGGGAGGCAGAGAAAGGACGACTGGAATTTGAGGCCAACTTGGGCAAAAAAGTTAGGGAGACCCTATCTCAAAGAACAAGACATGTATAGGACACATACTGTAATCCTAGCTATGTGGGTAGATGTTGGTAGGAAAATATGGTGTGAGATCCCCAGAAGCCAAAGACCCTATCTGAAAACTAACTAAAACAAAAAGGGCTAGAGTGCTGCAGGGTACAAGTGGTTCACACCTGTATTCCTAACTACTGCTGAAGCAGAGTCCAGGAGGATGGTGTTTACAGGCCCGTTGGGTCAGATAGTTCAAGAGACCTTATCTTGAAAATACTCACAAAAAAGGGCTGGAGATGTGACTCAAGTGATGAGTGCTTGCCTAGCTAGCACAAGACCCTGAGTTCCAACTCCAGTACCACCAAAAAAATAAATTTTAATTTTTATGGAGTTTAACATGAACACAAATGAAACTAATTTTTTAATCAGTAATAACAGATACTTACGAAACATATGGATGAGACTCTGGGTTCAATCATTAGCCTGCCCTCCAGAAAATTTTTTTTAAATTTATGGGGATTTAAACAGGAACAAAACTATGTGAATTCTGGGGCTAGAGATATAGCTTAGTGGCAGAACGCTTGCCTCGTGTGCACAAAGCCCCAGGTTTGATCTTCAACACCATAAAACTTAAAAAATAAAAAGCAAATTCTGGAACTGAAAATTACAATAATCAAAATTAAGACGTGAAACAGGGCGAGGGACATTGCACAGTGGTATATAGTGTGCTGGCATGCATGAAAAGCCTTTGGTTCAATTCCCAGTACCGAAAAACATGAACCCAAAACAAACAAAACAGCCCCACCTGGAACAGTTTTAGGAGCAGCATATTAGACGTAGCAGAATGATGCCCAATGAAGTAAATGGATCTAAAAATAGGCCAATTGTAGTGGTGCACGTTTGTAATCCCAGCTACCGGTGAAGACGATCATAAATTTGAGGGCTGGCCTGTTCAATTTAGCAAGACCCTGTCTGAAACCAAACAAGCAAAACCAAAAAAAACCAAACAAGCCCCCCTCGAAACAAAAACCAAAATGAACAGTTTGGAACTTAAACAATACACTTCTAAAAAAAAAATCTATGGCTCAAAGAAGAGATAATTAAAAATCTGAACTAAGTAAAAAATATTGGGGACTTCACACTGGGTGCGGTGGCTCAGGCCTGTAACCCTAGGTATTCCAGGAGGCAGAGATCAGGAGGCTCACTGTTCAAGGCCAGCCCAGGTAAATAATTCATGAGACCCTATCTCAGAAAAAACCCTTGCAGCTTTCCCTGGCCTCTTCAAGTGGTTAGGAGTTCTGACTCCTGATCTACGGCCTCTGAACTTAGCAAGGTATACTTTAATAGTTTATCTACATGAATAATTGCTGAAAATGTCAACATCCTCACTCTTTCTTGCTAGCAGTAATCCTATCCGACCTTCTGGACTCTATCCAAACTCACCCCCTCCCCTTACTAGTTGGCTGGTTCCTAGAATCACTTCTTTTAACTCAGCACATGAAGCTTCCATCTACTTAGCCCTTGTTACTGTATTATTTCATTATGGCTGCTTATCACTGCTCCCCGGCAGACCGTGAACTGCTAGGGGTTGGGACTCGCTGACTCTCCCCTTTCCCGCCCGTACTTGGCGGCGCTTGGAGCCCTAAAGCATCTCCGAGCAACGCCAGCACAGACATAATCCGGCCGGCGGGTCCACCCGCTGGGTGACGCGGTTTCACTAGCCAGGGTTCCGCCCGCTCCCCACGGCTCCTTTTGACCCACAGTTGGCCGCACGTGGGGCCCGCAGAGGCAGAGCGGGCCCTGCCTTCCCGGCCCAGATCCCTTGGCCCAGCTGCAGTCTGCGCAGACGCGCTGGTGCTCCCGAGCGCGTGACGCAGGGGCGGCCACAGCTTGGGGGCGGGGCACAGCGCTGCTGTCGCCTGCTTATTGGTCCTGGTGCTGACGGACAGGCGGGAGGACAGGCGGGAGGACAGCCGGCGAAGGATCTGCTACCAAGCTTAGAAACAATTATCTGACAGAAAAAAGGAAATAAATATTGGCTGTGGGCGCGCCTGAAGTGGTAGGGCCCTTGCCTTAGCAAGCACCAGACCCCGGGTTCGATCCCCAGCACCCCCACTCTCAAACAAAAAAGTCCGTTAACTAAATAAACAAGGCTGTAGAGAAGGGAAATGGGCGGCTGGTGTCGGCTTGAGAGCTTCTGAGCGAGCCCTGGTCGGGCTGGATGACCCTTGGTTCACCCGCTCCACCAGTCTGAAGCTTTTCTTTATTTTTTTGCCACTGGGGTTTGAATTCAGGGCCTCACACTTGCTAGGTAGGGCCTTTTCACCGCTTGAGCCCTACTCTCTCCACCAGAATGGGTGTGGGGAAGGACAGATGTCCTGCCAATTGAGACGCAGAGGACCTGTTTCCCACCGTCTCCTGAGTCTTCGTTTCTACTCTTTCACCCCCAGCTTTGCTGGAAGTTCCCACAGAACTTCATGGGGCTTAAGAGTCCGTCACTGCGGCTCAGAGCTGGGGTTCAGCCCTCTTCCGAGGGCATGGATATGGCGTTGAGAACGCATCTCCCTGGCTCCTGCCTGCTGGCCGCGGACTAGGCCTTCTAAAAAGCAAACCCGAGCACATCCTCTGCTTGAAACGGCCGGTGTCGTCTCCTCATCCCGGCCACGCCTGAGAGGAGGACCGACCACCGAGGAGTGAGGCGCTTTCAGCCGTGGGGCCTGGGCGTGAAGTCCCTTCTGTTACTGCACTGGACCCTTCTCGGCTACAGGAGCGCTGACCTCACCGTGCTGAGAGGCCACCCTAGTTGCCCCTAGCCTGGCTGTCGCCGGAAGGGTCTTGCCCTGCTCAGAGCACACTGGCACCCTCCTACCCAGAACACTGCGACCAGGCTCACGGGCCGCGAATAACCTCAGCACAGGGGCCATGTAGTTTTTAAGATACACGCACCGCCTCGGACTGGAGGCGTTACTCAAGTGGTAGCGGCCTGCCTCCTAAGCTGGAAGTCCTGAGTTTAAACCCCAGTACTGCAAAACAAAGTAAAAAATAGAAATATGAATTCCCCAAGTCTTGTACAGGACACAGACTCAAGAGGTAAGAGGACTGGAGAGTTTGAGGCCGGCCTGGGCTACATAGTGAGGGGCTGTCTCAAAAAACCAAGAAAAGGATATTGAATGAGTTAACACATGAACTCCAAAGATCGTAAGTGAAGATTTTTTTTTTTTAGCAGTACTGGGGGTTTGAACTCAGGACCTCACACTTGCTAGGTAGGCACTCTACCACTAGAGCCATTATGCCAACCCCAAAAGTGAAGATCTTAAAATGTGTCAGGCTGGTCTGGGTATGTAGCTCAGTGGCATGTGCTTATCATTTCTGAAGCTCTGGGTTTGATCCCCAACACTGCAAAATAAAACGTCAGACTGGACTGTGGCATTTTGGGGCTAATTAAGGACATGAATTGTATCTTTTTTCACCTTGAGTGTTGATAGCTAGTTACAAGTGGTGATCCTTTTAAATACTTAAGTTCAAGATGACTAGTGACATCAAGCCATTTAGTTATGGTCCTACCACAGCTTGTGGAACATCTTCTGCTCAGTCAGTAGGGACAGGGCAGTGGGCCAGTCATTGAAGGAAAAATTCAAGAGGGCTTAGAAGGGTGTGTTGTGTGCTACAGACAATGAGAACGCCAAATCCAAGAGGTGTTTATTGTAATGAGTGTTCAGGGAGGGTTGGGTGGGGTGTGGTTCCCCCCATATGATCCTCCAAGGCTCTGGGGTGATTCATTCTTCCTTGGATCCGGGGGTGGGGCTGATATTTGTTCCCCGAGTTGGGCTCTGCTCCCCCTGGCCCTTGGCATCCCCTGCATCTCCAGCCACTAGAGCCACATTCCTCAGATAATTGGTGTTGAAGCAGTTCATCTGTTCATCTCCAGGAATCAGGTTACAGCACAGGGCAGGATCTTTCCAGAAGTTCCGTCGGGGACCACACAGATCATCGATGAAGGCTAATTTCTGAAGAAGGAGAAAAGTAAATCAGAGATGGTGGGGGTCAGAGTCAGGCATGGATACCTGGGTGCCCAAAGTCCTCCTCTTGTCAGCTTCTACTGGTTTTCCCCTGAATCCCCTTCCTGGAGCCCAGACATAATGTAAGGCTGCCTTGCATAGCTAGATTCCTTGTGACTGACAGATATGCACCTCTGGAAATGCCAGAAGCTTGAGGCCCAGAGAAGGTATAATAGGAACTAAGGAATGGGGACCAGGCCAGGTCAGGAAGACTTCTGGAATAAAGAAAAAGGAGCACTCCCATTATCCTTACTTCTGTGCCTAAGGAGAAGGGGCAGCCTTTAATTCTAGCCCTCTCTCCTCACTCCATTGCATTCTTCTGGGGACACTGACCCTCTTCTCCACACACTTACCTCTTCCTCAGCACAGCAGGCCTGTTCTGGAAATGGCAGGTCACAGCAGTGGGCAGTCATGTTCTGGATCAGCCCAGGAATCTGTTTACTATGGTTGGAGTGAAAGAGGTAGGGGTCAGGATCTTTGTACATTTCCTGTTGTCCAAATAGTACTGGGAGACCATTATTATGCTGTCTCCAAGGGCACCTCAGGAGGGAGACTTTTGGGGAGGGAAGTGTTCTTGGGAAGATCTGGGCAAGACTTACTGCTTGGTGAGAACTCTTCGGTTTCCACAGAGATGGCCCATGAGGTTGGGGGTGACTCGGCTGAGGTCAAGGGTCAAGATGTCCCTGTCATAGTTGGGGTAGGGAGCTCGATGGGCAAAGCAATCATCCCGGGCAGGGCTAGGAGGGTAGCGGCAACATGAGTGGTGGTGGGTTTTTATAGCCTGCTCCCGGTCACAGAATCTATCCAGGGTATCCTCCCACTGTGGACCAGAGAGAGACAAGTCAGAGGCTGCATGCTTGGTCTCTTTTCTCCTCACCATCTACTTTCCTTACTACCCCAGTTATGACATAAGGGGCTCCAGCCCCAGGGGCCAAGAGGGGAGGGTAAAGAACCAGAAGGCAAAGAGTCAGTTATGGATGTGGGCTTGGGAAGGTGGAGGGAGGAAGCACAGATGAGGTTCCAAGTTGGCCATGGGAGATGAGCTGGAACAGTAGGTGAAGAGGGTCAGGTGAGCCCAGAGCTGACAAATGAATGGCAGACAGGTGGATGTGTGGGATTACAGGTGGATGAGGACTTAAGATGAACAGACTCAGATGACGGACACAATGGATGGACGGACAGTCACAAGCAGATGAACGTGGACGTGGTCACAGCAGGGAGATACATGGTTGGATGGACCAGTGGAATCAGCGGTTGGAGTTGGGCAGGCAGGCAGGCTCCCAGGGGCAGGGCTGGGACGCCCACTTACGGCCTTCCATGTACAGGTGTGGTTGTTCCCCTGGCGGCAGCAGCGCTGGAACTCCACTTCCAGCTGAGTCAGAGCATGCAGCTGTCTTTGGATGGGGTCAGTAGGTGGAAGATTGCGTGGCACAGAGCGCAAGCGTCTCAGGTGGCAGATGTTCTTGATATTGTCCAGTGTGGGCAACCCAGGGGGAAAGGGCAGCTCGGGGCCCGAGGAAAGACCAGGCTGGTGACTGGGGCAGGCCTGGAGCTGGTAGTGTGGTCGAGGAGCTGCCTCCTGGAAGCAGGAGAATCGCGCCTCCCCCTGCCATTTACAGCACCAGTGGTGTCGTGTCTTGACTGAGAACTCGGCCTCACAGAACCGAGTCATTGTTTCCTCCCACTAGAGTGAGAGGGGGGTGGGTCAGCCCAGCAGCCCATGTCCACATTCCTACCTTCCTCCCAGGATCCAGGACAGGATCCTAGGCAGGTAGGTGAGAAAGTAGCAGCGGTTGTCCCCTGCTGTCCTGGCACACTGGGGAGGCCTGAGGTAGGGCAACGAAAGGAACCTGAGGTTCCTCCAAACCCAAGACTAGATGTCAAGCCTTTAAAACACACACACTACTGTCTGAGGTTAAAAGATACCCCAAAATCAAGAGCCCAACCCTTACCACGAGCTTTGCGCAGTCTAGGCGGTTTGTGTGGCTGCGGCAGCGACAACAGCGGGAATATCCAGTCTCCAGAAAATTGAGGGTCTCACCCTGGCGACTAAGGTGGGAGAAGCCAGTCTGTGGCAGGTTCCAGGGACCATATACTATATGTTGACGCTCAGGAAGGCAGATCTGGTTCAGATTGTCTGGAGAAGGCCGACCAGGGGGGAAGCCATCTAGTCGGTGGGCCCAGGCCCCTCGGAACCGGCCCCCCTGTTGGCAGTGCTGGGCTGGATTCCAAGAATGAGGTTCTGCAGGGTCCTGGCCCATGAAGGGAGCTGGCTTTTCTAGAATGGGGAAAACAGAGTGGGAAGGAGGATGTGAAGGGATAGACAAAGGCTGTTTGAGCTGGGAGGACTGAAAGATCTTGGGGTGGAGGAGAAAGGGTTAGGAGGATATAGGGGAAATGGAGGAAGAAATTACTCTGTGCTTCTTACCTTCAGAATAACTGACTGAAAGGAAACGAGAATTGAAGCATGGAAGGTGTTACCCTCAGAGCTGTCCTTCCTCCCAAATCCTTCCTCCCTGTACTGCTTCCTGAGGCCCAAGCTCCTCTCCCCCAGGGACCTCAAGGCTTAGTAGAAGAATGGACAGATCAGTGCTGTCACTTACCGTCTCTCTGCTTGGATTGGGAGATCTCCTGATGTGGGAGAGGTGGGTCCACTGGGGTAGAGGAGATGTAAGCAAAAATCGGGTTAGATAGGCAATAATAGAAAACAGGCAACTGAGCTGGGCATGGTAATACAGGCCTATAATCCCAGAACTGGGGATGGTAAGGCAGAAGGATGGAAAGTTTGAGGCTAGCTCAGGCTACATAGTGAGACCTTGTCTCAAAAACAAAACAAATAAGAAAACAGGAACATGGCTGGTTCCTGTTGATAAAAAGGAACTCAGTGGAGAAGTGAAAAATAAATGCAATTTTATGTTATTTAATCATATAACTATTAAATAGGCATTATTTCCTCAACTGTACAGATGAAGAAACCAAGGCTTGGAGGGATAAGTAAATCAAGATTATACAACTAGGGCTGGTGGAGTGTTCAAGTGGTAAGAGTGCCTGCCTATCAAGTGTGAGGGCCCCAAGTTCAAACCTCAGTACTGGAAAAAAAAAAAAAGATTACACAACTAGTAAGTGGCAAAGCCTACCACTTTGCTTTCCAAACTCATGTTCTGGGGTGTAGAATAAAGGTCATGGGGTCATGGGGAAACAGGAGAAGGAGTCACTTACTTTCCTTCTGTTCAGCAAGGCTTTGGGGAGGGGGCAACTCTTCTTGGCGGGAGAAGGCTCCCTGAGTGAGCGGGGTACCTACTGAAAGACGGGTGAGAGCACGCAGGAGTGGTCAGACAAGCATTAGAGGTGGCAGTGGAATGGAGGTAGGGAGTGGGCAAGCACTCACCTCTCCTTTCAACAGGGAGTTGTAGAGGGGGCAGCTCTTCCTGTTGGACAGGGATGGCTTCTGGAGAGGGAGGGGGCTGCACTACAGAAGGGTGAGTGTGTAAGCAGCCCACCCCTTCCAGCCAGGCCATGAGAGGGTTTCTTCCCTTCTCCCATCTGAAGAACAGGAAGTAGGCCAGATCAGAGACCTGGAGGGGTAACTAAGAAGGGCATGTGGTGGCCTTACCTTCTCTTTGTCCCTCAAAGGGAAGATCATGCTCAGAAGTGTCAGGGTGATTCATGGAGAAGCCCTGGGTCCGGGGTGGGGAGGGAGGTGCTGCATAACCAACTGGAGCCAAGAGGGGAGATAGTCAGAGCCTGTAGTTCCTCTTCAACTCCCAACCCCTAGGCTGCTCCCAAACTCTTACCTTCTTGAAGGTGCTGGATGAGATGCTCTGGCTTCAGCTCTCTCTTCCCTGGACCCTTGAGGACTAGAGGGAGGAAGGACAAGTCAGGGGCAGTTTTGAGGGGCCTTAGTAAGGGGTGGGGAGGCTTTGAAGGGAAAGAATGTAGAAAAATGACTAAGACACAGGACCACTTCTGTATTACACCTGCCCTGTGTCCCCTCATCTCCTCCACAAATACATCTAGATGTGAGTGACTGGGTTTTGAGAAAACCTGTGATATTCCGATGGCCCCACCTCTATCTGGCTCAAAGGTTGGGCCTGAAGGAAATGTGACATACGGGGTTGGGGAGGGAGACCCTAATTTTCTGAGTCTCTCTCTAGGGACTTGTGGCTGTCCTCCCCATAGCCATTCTGCTATTACTTCCCTAACTTTCAGAAAAAGTCTGACCTGACGCTGGCTGGGGGCTCACTTACCCACTTCCTCTACCCATCCTCCTCCTACAGACTCTTCACACATCTTTAGGCCTTCTGATAAAGAGCCCAGCCAGAAGTTTAAGTGCCTGCCCTTAGTCTCAGCTCCTCCTTACTTTAGGTCTCAACTTAGGACAATTTAGGATCTGGGGACTGGGACAGGCACAGAGAAAGAAATCACTGGCAGATTTGCAGGCACAAGACGAATTGGGAATGACAATGAGATAGGGCTTTACCAGAACTATAGACTAGATCTACTGACATTCTCTCAACAGTTTCAAGCCCTCTGGAGGTGGGAATTCTGTTTCATTCAGGCATCAAAGCACAGTGTATACGTGCCCAACAGAGGTAAGTCTGTGGATGGACACCCCCTCAACTCTTCCTCTAACCAGTTAGTCAAGGCTCCCTTGGCCAGCAGCTTGAGGGGGGCCCTTTTCCCTTTCTTACCTGTCTCCTAGTCCTTCCACATACATCCTTCTCAGGTGTAGGTCCCTTATTCTGTGACTTCAACTACCCTCTTTGTTGTCTACTTCAGTCCACTTTTGTTTCTTAGCATCAATCTCCAGGAATCCCCCTTTTTCTTTTCCTGCCTTCCTGTTTAAAGGCTCCAGTGCCCCAGGCCCTTTGTGGGCTACTCAGAAAGGAGGGCAAACCACCCTACTGGTGATGAGCTGCTTGGAGCCAGGTCCCTTCCCAAATGCTGACCCCACCCCTACTCACCTCCCTCAAAGGTGGCAGAAGCAACAGCTAAGCAGGCCAAGACCAAGGCTGCTCTGGACATAGTCCCCATCTTGGGGCAAGGACTGGTTATTGCCACCCAGAAGCTGAGTCTTCTCAAGCAAATCTGGATTTGAAGGGCTGGGCTGCTGGAAGCCTGTTCCTCTGGTTGCTGCTACTGCTGTTGTGAACTTCAGGGCCAGCTCCGGTCTCCCTTTATATGTTGTCTGGTGCTATCTCCCGCCCTTCTCAGCTTCCTGCCATGACTCAGTCCCAGCTGCTCCTCCTCTGGCAGCCACTCCTCCCAAACTCATCCTGAAGTCTCCTCAGAGGATTGAGAAGAATGGAGGTGATGGGAGGGGAGCATTCATGTGACCCCAGGAGAAATTGATTCAGAGAATCATGGAGCAGGAGACACTTGAGACCTTAGTTTATGCCTCAGGTTCTCCACCTGCATACTGCCCTTTGTGGAGAATGGATCTGAAAACCTACTAATTTGGGGTTGGAGGAACAAGACAACTGCTTGAGGCAGTAACCCTGCCAGTAAGAGGGCTGGTTATCCCTTTTCCTCAACTCTGGGACAAAAGAGACAGAGTAGAACTTCCTTTTATCGTCCTTAGGAGTCAGAGATGAAGACACATGCCCTTGCAGCTTCAAGTTTATTTTCATTCTTCTCCATCCAAACAGTACAGCTTCCCTCCCTCTGTGGGGCCCCCAAACAAGTCTATTTTCAGGAGAGGGGACACATGCAGTTGAGGATTCTGGGGGACTATCAGCTGGGTTAGAGTCTCCTGTGTGAAGGGAGGCTGATGGCTCTCAGGGTTTTTGCGTCATCTGTATACAAAGGCTCAGAAAATTTCTTCAGCATTGGAGACCCGGGTGTTCTGCAGCTCCAGCAGCCTCTCCATAGCATCAGTCAAGTCCCACTCCCCTAGTCGCCGATTATCTCGAGTCCGTATGTTCACTGTTCTCTTACTCTGTTCCTTCTGGCCAACCACTGCAGGAAGAGGAAGGGAGGTCTGGGAACCTTGGGACAAGTTCATCCACATGGGATATTTCCTTTTGTTTTGCAGACTTAAATCTTTAGGAAGGGTGGGAGAAGAGCCTAGATACAGTTTAAAGAAGTATATATTTAGCTGTGCCTGCTCTGCAGTTCACTGCTTATCCTGATGAGATAAGGAAAAGGTCCAGGCTCTATATGCCTTATCACTTCTGGTCAGAGGCCAGAGGTTACAGATGTTAGAGTCAGTCAGAAAAGATTGAAGGGCTGGTGGAGTGGCTCAAGTGTGTCTGCCTAGCAAAGCCTAGCAAGCATGAGGCCCTGAGTTCAAGCACCAGTACTACAATAAAAAAAATTAAAAAAAAAAGAAAAGATTGAGAACTAGACACAAAGTGAAACTGTTTGAGAATCAGATAAGAGAAACTGTACATGTGTGAATGGGGGTTGGATGCCTTACAGGAGGGAAGATAACAGGGGTGGGACACATGTGTGCAAGACCACAGGACTACAGGTCAACCTGCTCCAAGTACTGCAGGGTGAGTGGGGTGTATAATAACCAGGTGATCTGGCTGAGAAGTTCCTGTTTCAAAAGCACTAGACTCCAGGGTGAAAAAAGCAGGAGCAAAGCAGTGCTAGACTTTTCTCCTTAAGGCCTTTGCCTTTCTCCTCAGCCTTCAGGGTTGACTCTATCCAGGTGTAAAATAAACAAGGCTAATTAAGTAATGCCTTGCTTTTTAAAAATTTTTTGGTGCTGGGGATTAAACCCAGGGCCTTGCACATGCTAGGCAAGCACTCTACCACTGAGCTACATCCCCAGTCTTTTTTTTTTTTTTTTGTGGTACTGGGCTTGAACTCAGGACCTTCACCTTGAGCCATTCCACCAGCCCTATTTTTGTGAAGGGTTTTTTTTCGAGATAGGGTCTGTCAGAACTATTTCCCTGGGCTGTCAGAACTATTTCCCTGGGCTAGCTTCTAACCTTGATTACAGCTCTGTGAGCCACTGGTGCCTGGCATTGTTTTTTTTTTTTTTTTTTTTGAGACAGGGACTCACTATGTAGTCCAGACTAGCTTAGAACTTGCAATCCTCCTACCTTCACCTCCTGAGTGCTAGGATTGTAGGTTCCAATTAATGGACTTCCTGTCCATTTCTCTCAGCTGCTTGCTTGGTTAATAACTTAACAGAAAACCCCTAGGGTGGGGCTAATAAGAGAAAAACCGTTCTGAGGGATAGAGGTAGTAGTGGGGAGCAGCAATCTGAAGGAACTTAAGAGGGCAAATGAGTCAGGCTCCTGTTCAGCTCAGGTAAAAGCCCCAATTAATCCAAATATGCAAATAACCAAACTAAGTAGACTTAATAGAAAGAAGAATGCAGAACTTAGGGCTCTGAGGTTTTGGACTAACCCACTTTCTTACCAAACTGAAAATTGTAGTGGGCAAGCTGGGCCCGGCGGACTCTTCGGCTGAGGGTCAGTCCAGAGTCAGCATCCAGGTCGCTGACTAGTCCTGCAGACCGCAGGCTCTGTTGTACCTGGGACACAGATGTTGTGACAAGAAGTGAATCTAATGGAAGGTTGAGGAATTAGGACTGTCAGACACCACTCTCCCTCAACCATCTACCACCCCCAACTTCTTATTCCCTGCCTTAGTGCTCTTAGGTTCTCACCTACAGCCTCTTCTCATCTCATTACACTGAGGCCACCTTTGCATTTTCAACTCACAACTTTGTTGTCTGCCTTTTCCTAGAGACAAGCACTCCACTGTTCGCTGGATTTTGCTTGACACTACTCTACCCAACCAGCTGCTCAAATCCAGTACCACCTCTGTTTTCAATTCTCTTTAGAAAGGACAAAAAAGGGCTGGAGACAGGGCTCACATGGTAGAGCACCTGCCTAGCAACTGCAAATCCCTGAGTTCAAGCCCCAGTACTATAAAAAAGGGCAAATAAAAAACAACATTTAGCCAAAACCATTTTTATGCCAAGTGCTCTGTTGGCAATGTTTAACATTTATTGCTAAATTTTCACACATCTCTGTAAGACAGAAATTAGTCTTATTTAAAAATTTTTTTTAATTTAAAAAATTTATTTATTTTTGTTTTCAACTTTCCTTTTAGATGACTTCTATTAACTCTGAATCTCAATATTAGTATCTGTTTTTGTCTGTTTTTTGTGGTACTGAGGTTTGAACTCGGGGCCTACACCTTGAGCCACTCCACCAGACCTTTTCTTGTGATGGGTTTTTTTGAGATAGGGTCTTGTAAACTATTTGCCTGGGCTGGCTTCAAACTTTGATCCTCCTGATCTCTGCCTCCTGAGTAGCTAGAATTACAGGCATAAGCCACTGGCACCCGTCTAGTCTCATTGTTTAGATACAGAATTTCCAGTACAGTATAGCTGCTACTCAAGTCCTGTCTTATGTCTCTAAGGGCTGTGTCCTTCCTACTACTCTATGTAGCCTCTTCCCACCCAGGGGGAAGGCTATTGCTCTCTTTTTGCCCTTCCCCATGCCCCCAACTCCTCACCTGCCTGGCATATTCCTCTTGCTCAGTCCCCACAGGGATGACCACCACCTGGAATGGGGACAGCCACAGTGGCCTGGTTGGGAGAGAACAGCAAGGCAAATTATTCATTCTGGTTCTGGCCAGAAGTGGGCTGTAGGGAGCAGAACTGAGAAGAAAACAAGCCAGGATATAAAGGGGGCCTGAACAGAAATTTAGTGTCAAGAGGTCTCACCATTTTCCTCCACAGCTTTCTGCCAGCACTCCTAATAGCCTTTCCACAGAACCAAGCACTGCTCGGTGAATGAGGACAGGATGCTTCAGGGCCCCCGCCTGCCTGAGAAGGAAAAGGAGGGTACAAACTGTGTACCCAAAATCACTTTATGGTTTTCAAGAAATACTCATTCCTGGCAGGATCTGGCTTAATTTTTAGGGTTAAAGGTAGAGGGGTAATTATTGACCTATTCACGGGCTATAAAGAGAAAAGGGGCCAGGCCAAGATTCTATACCCCTTGTACTGGAGACCGAATCTCTGTGGCAATTGGAAGTCAAGCTGGATTGTCCCACACTGATGGGGCCGACTGAGGGCATCATGGAGGTGCACATCAATCTGAAGCACAGCAGAGAGATGGGAGGGCATGAGAAAAACAGAACCAGTGTCTTCCATTATCTGTACCACTCCACTTTCTATCTACCCATGTCCCAGGCTATTTGGAGAGTCATGTCACCCAGGTGTATCACACTCTACCCCTTTAATCCACTCTATTTCACTTACTCTGGCACTGGGTTCCAGTTGCTCTCTCCACTTAAGTAATGGTGTTACAATATTAGAAAATATCCACACCCTTGCCTCTCAATTCTTTTGAGTTTTCATCTCAGAGACCTTTACCCCTTACATACACACTGTGGCCTCATCCTTCACTTTGTCATCTTTCCTAATGGCTTTACTTCTGAAACACTCCACCAGACACCTACTCTGATTATTTTCCCTTATTCTCCCAGCTAACATTTTTCCTATTACTAGTTTTTCCTTTCCTTCTCCCCTTTCTCCCCTTTCCTTCTTCTCCCTCTCCCCTCCACTCCCCTTCCTTCCTTCCTTTTTGGTACAGGGGTTTGAACTCTGCCTCCTGAGTAGCTAGGATTATAGGCATGAGCCACTGGTGCCCAGCTGAATTTTTTTTTCTTAGTAACATAAAAATATTTTAGTAAGGGAGAGTAATAAAGGAATTAATCTGATGAAAGTACAAAATACTAATGGGTGAAATCCCTTTGAACAATGAATATACACTTGAAAAATGAAATACTGGAATCCCGTGGGGAGGGAGATACTCATGGGAGGAGGAGGGTAAATGGAGAGGGTGAAGGAGGGGACATATGGTTGATGTACTTTATACACTTGTGTGAAAATAAGAGCAGTGAAACCTGTTGAAATTATTGTAAGTAGGGATGAGAGGGGTGGGGGAAAAGGATGGACAGGATGACTAACCAAGGTACATTGTAAACATATACTGAAATGTGACAATGAAAACCCCCAGTACAACTAATATATGCTAATAAAAATGTGAAAAAAAAAAAAGCTGGGCACTGGTGGCTCACACCTTTAATGCTAGCTACTTGAGAGGCTGAGATTGGGAGGATTGTGGTTTGACACCAGCCTGGACAAACAGTTCAACCCCAGTACTGCCAAAAAAAACCAAACCAAACCAAAAAACAAATCAAATAACCAGATCAAAATGGAATGGAGGTATGGCTCAAGTGGTAGGGCATTTACTTTTCAAGTGTGAAGCCCTGAGTTCAAAACCCAGTCCCACACACACAATAAAGTAAACAAAAGAAAAGATTTTGCCAGGCGCTGGTGGTTAACACTTATAATCCTAGCCACTCAGGAGGCAGAGATTGGAGGACTGTGGGTTGAAGCCAGCTAGGAAAAAAGTGAGACGCTCATCTCAAAAATATCCAACACAAAAAAATGGCTAGAAGAATGGCTCAAGTACCCAGTACCACCAAAAACAACAACAACAAAAAGCCCACGTAGTTTGTTATTGGCAAAATCAATCAATAGAACACATTTTGTAATTCCGGTATTTTTTTTTTTTTTCCCTGGGACTAGGGCCTGAACCCAGGGCCTATCTCCAGTTCTTTTAAAAAAACTTTTTTATTTTTAATTTTTTGCTGTGCTGGGGCTCAAACCTAGGACTTGCACATGTTAGGCAAGTGTTCTACCACCAAGCTATACCCTGCATCCTCCTTTTTAAAATTTTGAGACAGGGTTTTGCTAAGTTGTCCAGGCTGGCCTCAAACTTGTGATCCTCCTGCCTCTCAGCCAGTAGCTGGGATTACATGCATGTACCACTATGCCTGGCTTCATTAATTTTTAATATTTTCATTTACTGTTTATTGAACCACTAAACAAACACCCAGTGTTGGAATAGACATTGGAACATAAAAATGAGTAGTGTGCATGTTACATGAATAAATCACCCCAGCATATCACATAGCAGCTACTGACCACTGAAAAGATTTAGTCTTTTCTCCTTTTATTTTATCGTTTTTGCATTTATTTACATGTGTATACACTGTTTGTTCCCCCTCCCCCAAGATTTAGTTCTCATAACAGTTTTTTTTTTTAGTACTGTGGTTTGAACTCAGGGCCTATACCTTGAGCCACTCCACCAGACCATTTTTTGTGTGAGTTTTTTCAGGATAGGGTTTCTTGAACTATTTGCTCAGGCTGGCTTTGAACTGGATCCTCCTGAGCGCTGCCTCCTGAGTAGCTAGGGTTACAGACATAAGTCACCAGCACCCAGCTTTATAACAGTTTTTTTTTTTTTTATAATCTTCTCTCCTACCTTCAACCCTCTCACTAACAACACTTCTCTCTTTCACTCCCATCTCAGCAAATGATTCTGCAACCTGCTTGACAGAGAATTCAGGTAATTGATATTTAGGGATAGGAAAATGCCTCAACTTCCTGTCACCATACCTATAACCTTGCATCTAGCCCCAGACTTTACCTTTAGTTTGGATATAATGGCAAAGGTGTTCCCGTTTGTGGAGAATTCTCAATCCTGTCCCAAGCCTCCCAGGAACTTCCTACTTCCCTCTACTGCAACCTTTTCTCTTACAACTTTCACTTTTCTCCCCCAAACAGGTTCCCTCTCATCACAGTTTAGTTGGCACTGGAGTTTGGACTGAGTACCTCACACTTGCAAAGCAGGCACTCTAATGCTTGAGCCACACCTCCAGTCTATTTAGCTCTGGTTGTTTTGGACATGAGGTCTCATGAAGTATTTGTGCGGGTTGGCCTTGAACCTCAATCCTCCCGATTTCAGCCTCCTAAGAAGCTAGAGTAGCTAGGATTACAGGCACAAGCCACCAGCGTACAGCTTATCATAGCATTTAAACATTTTCAAACCTATTTCTTCCTCTTTTTTTTTTCTTTTTGCAGTACTGGAGTTTGAACTCAGAGCCTACACTGTGAGCCACTCTACCAACCCTTTTCTGTAATTTTTTTTCGAGATAGGGCCTTGTGAACTATTTCCCCTGGCTGGCTCTGAACCAGGATCCTCCTGATCTCTGCCTCCTGAGTAGCTAGGATTACAGGCGTGAGCCACTGGTGCCCGTCTTAAATCTATCTCTTTAGAAAAATCTCTCTTGACTACCCAGACCCCTACAGCTACTCCTTTATAAGATTCAAAATTCTTGAAAGAGTTATGTTTGTTCAGTCACTGCTGTCTGAATCCACCCCCATTTGAAAATGGTCCTTCAAAATCTAATAGTCCTTTTTGTTTGTGAGCTGGAGGTCAAACCCAGGCCCTTGTATGTGCTAGGCAAGCTCTACGAGCCACATCCCCAGCACCCCCTTCTATTTTTTTTTTTTTTTGAGATAGATTTTGTTGCCCAAATGGCCTCAATTCCTGGGCCAAGTGATCTTCCTGCCTCAGCCTCCTGAATAGCTAGAATCACAGGCATGTGCACAAGGCTCCTGAAAACAGTGTTTTTACTGAATCCAGAAGACACTCAGCAGTCCCTCTTCCTTCTCCCTATACCTCCCCTACTTCTTTTACTTCTTCCCACTTGCCATATGAGTTTTCAGCTCTATCCTCAGCCTCTGCTTACACTATCCCCTCCTAGAAGAGCTCTTTTTTTTTTCTGATGGTACTGGGGTTTGAACTCAGGGCCTTGTGCAGGGAGTCTTACCACTTGAGCCATACTACCAGCTCCTGGAAGAGCTGGTCAACAATTAACTCCCATTAGACTGGAGAGTGATTCCTGCAGGAAGACTCTCCCGTACTCTGAGTAGGACTTACACCCGTCTGTGCTCTCTTACCACCTATACAGCATGGATCCACTACATGGCCTATTTACTTCTCACAATCCTCACTAGACTCCAAATTCCATAGGAGCAGGAAATACATTGCTTTTCTTTTTAAGTCTAAAAACTCTTCTTTATATCTACTAAGTGTTTAATAAAACAAACAAAATACAGATAAATAAAACTTTAAGGAGGGTCCCCAGTTTACCTTTGGCCCATAGAAGGCACCATCTCCAGGGTTAAGGTCCCAGGGTTCTCCAAATTCCTCCAAGGCCTGTTGAAGAACCTTTGAGGGAATGAGACAAGAGAAGAATGTATCATCTGAGAGTTCATGAGCAAGACACTCCTCCAGTCCCCATATATGTCTCCTGGTTACCATATCCCTTCTCCTCCCACTGTAGTTTATCTGCCTCTGTTTCCCTACCTCCTGCTCACCTGCTCAGCCTCATCCCAAAGGCTAGGTTCCCCTAGGAAGCCAGATGGCCGGGTGGACAATGCCAGGCGGAAGGAGAAGCCAAGGACAGCATACACAGAGCGAAGGAAATCAAGACAGTCTCGTATCTCTGCTTCTAGCTAGAGGCAGGAAATAAGGGAGGTGGGGGGTGAGCTGCATGCCAGCTGGAGATCTGAGGTGATGGTAGTTTGGGAGAAACAGAGGCAAAACCAGAGAGGTAGCAGAAGATAGCCAAATTATAATATACAGAGGGCAACTGAAGGTCAGGGAAGTTAAAGGTTTACAGAGAGAGTGGTAAGTGGTTCAAGACATGCTTTAGTGGAGCCAGGGAAGGGCCACCTGATCTGGTGCACAGAAGATATGAGCATCATCCTGCTGGAAGCGCCACAGCCGAGTCAGTCCTCCCAGACTGCCAGAGGCCTCAGCCCGGTGCAGGACTCCAAAGTCAGCAAGTCGAATGGGCAGTTCCCGCCAGGATCTGGGCCGGTGGGCGAACATCAGGCTGAGGTCGGGGTGGGGTGGGGGTCAGGGCCACAGGGAGAACTAGCCCTGGAAAACTGCACCTCCCCCCAGTCTGCTTGCCAATTTTCTCTGCACCATCAGCTACCACATCTCCACTTAATATACACCCACTAAGCCCTATCAATTCCACTCATCACAGGTGCCTGGTGCAAAAAGTGAATCTCTTAGTCATACAGTAATAGGCATCATTTACTGTGCCCCTGTTCTGCAATGGGCACTGAGCCTTGATTTTACTGGTCAGGAGACTGAGACCCAAGCAGTGGAATGATTTTCCCAAATTCACAGGGTTAGCTACAGGGCAGATTCAAGACTCACATCAGGTGTCCCAATATTCTTTTTAAGACACTTTCTACTACTTTACATTTAACAATCTAGTTGCTACCTGAGTTCCAGGACGACCAGGCTTCCTGGTTCTCAACTCACCAGTGTGCAGGGCAGTTCATGGGCTTGAGGGCAAGTGTGTCTGTGGGATGACTGGCAGGGTGGTCACTCTGGGAGCTGGCAGGCCTGTTTATGCCTGGGGGCTGCAGGGCAAACATGTCTTCCCTATAATGTTCCCAGTGTCCTGACTGTTCCCAGAGTTTTGTAGAAAACAGTGTGGGAGTTTTCACCTCTGAGAAACCACGGCGGGCATACTCAGCCTGGGAAGGGGGTACAAGTATGAGGTCAGCGTAACTGAAAGGAGACAAAGCAGCAAGAAGGTGAGTGATTCTCTTGGGTTCTCTGACCTCACAGCCACAAGCTATCAAATATCATCATTGGGCTGGCAGAGTGGCTCAAGCAGTAAGAGCACCTGCCTAACAAATATGGGGCCCTAAGTTCAAACTTCAGTGCTGCCAAAATAAAAATAAATAAATAAAACCCCATCATTATCTATGCTCCCCCACTGCATACCACACAACTATAGTATCATACAAAAGGCCACCAGCACTTTACAATGTTTATGCTTATGCTTCCAATGCTTTTTTTTTTTGAGACAGGTTTTGCTATGTAGCTCAGTCTGGCCTTAAATTCATGATTCTCCTGCCTTAGCCTCCTGAGTATTGGAATTACACGTGTGCACCATACCTCGCCTAATACCCCTCTTTTAACTCAAACGATTTGGTTTACTCTAGGCCCCCAGTCCCTCCCTGGTCTTCTTTCCTCTGGACTTGGGTCCAGCTTACCCTGATAAAAGCTACCAGGGCATTATACACCCTTGTCCCTCGAGGCAGGAAGAAGCAGCTCCCAGGGCTCAGTTCATGGAAGAAGAAGAGCTCCTGTTCCTGGGGATGGAATGGCAATTGGCACTTAATGGAGAAGGCTTTGGAAATAGAAGTTTCAGTCTGTTTGACTGAATGAGCTCCCAATGTCACATGAAGTTCCTCTCTAACAAACCCTTATCACTAGCCCTCTCTGTCTTCCCAAGCTCTGTACCTTCCCAATGCGTCTGTGGTCCCGCAACTCTGCTTCTTTCCTCTGGGCTTCCCATTCCCTCAGCAACTCTGCTGTGGGGAATGAAATTCCTGACACTCTCTGTAGTGTCTCTGGAGCCCCTGAAGACTTCCACAAGGATGAGGAGTTCTGTGGGAGGGCAGAAGGAATCAAAGGGAAGGGAAGGAAGACTGAAAGCCCCAACCTTTCTTTCACACATCATATGATACTCTTGATGTAAGCATTGCAGGTATGCTCCTTGGTCACGATCCCATCTCATCTCTCTCATTACTTTGCCCACCACTGCTACCAACAGGATGGCATCCTCTTGGCTACCCTGGCCACAGCCCTGGCTTTTCCTGAATTGACTCCTACATACTTCCCAGTCAGGCCTAATCTTACCCAACCATCTCTTTTGCTTTCCATTCTTATTGCCATCAGTGCTCTTGTACTTAGTTCCATTCCCTTCTAATCAAAGACTGCTTACGGGAGTAACTAAACTCTGGTCAAGTGTCAGTCTCTCCACCTCTTATTAACATCCCACACAGCTGCAAGAGAAGTCAACCTTATACATCACATCCTATTTCTAGCTACACAAAAGTCAAAAGCCTCTGCTTGCTCTTTTGTCAGTAGTACTAATAAGAGCCTATATCTATAGCATTTTTTCTCCAACACTTTCTCCTGTGTTAGTTGATTTTCATTGTCTCTAGGACGTGGATTTAACAGCCTCGTTTTGTAGATGGGAAACATGAGCAAGGAGATTTACCCAGTTACATAGGCAAAATGAGGTCTGTGCAGGTGGCTAAGTTTTCAATGCAGGGCTATTTGTTCTATACAACTGCCTGTCCCTTTGTTACTTGTTTCCATCCCATCTAGTAACTCATGATGTCCAGTATTTGTATGTATTTTCATAGAAAGCACAGCCCTAACTTAGGGTATTCTCCTTGTTCCTATCATACAGTATTCATCCATCCTTCTGGACCATGTTCCCTCTCCACAGACACTGTCCCTATTATATGACCCTATCCAGTCTGCTCACACTCTCTTGCTTCATGTCCCTTACCTAGGGAATCGGAATGGACCCCTGGGCCCTGGCAGCGTGTTTATTATCTACCATCAAACTAGGGAATTCGAGAATGCGGGGACTAAGTATCTTTCTCCGTCTCAATTCTCTCCTTAGCCATGAGAGCAGAGAACTGGCGGGAAAAGAGGACAATTTCCTTCTCCTGCTCACTCCTGTGAAAACAGGAGAATCAACTTCATTGTGTTTTCATAACTGACCGTTAGCAGCTTCAGGCCTCCGATTTGTCCAGTGTGCCGAAGGTGGGGGCCCCGGCAAAGATCAACCAACATACCACATCTGGGAGAAAGAAGACACCAGTTAGTGGTTTCCAGATTCTTTCTTTCTTTTTTTTTTTTTTTTTAGGTGGTTCTAGAGTTTGAACTCAGAGCTTCAAGGACTTGAGCTTGCTAGGCAGGTGCTCTATTGCTTGAGTCGTGACCCCAGCTCCCCCCGCTTCTTTTTTGTATTTATGTATGTATGTATGTATGTATGTGAGTGTGTATGTATTATGTATTTTTCTCCCACCCCATGTCTCTCCACTCACAATAAAGATCAGGCACAGGGCCTGGGCTGAGGTATACATGGGGTAGATTTACTTTGCTTCTTCTTTCTATACAGTCAGTGTAAGAACATAGCCTGTGCTAAGCACCAGGAGGTCTCCTCTGCCCCCTCCTCTCCTTTTTTGGTGATGCTGGTTTTTTTTTTCTTTAAGACTAGACAAGTATAGTAGTGAGAAGGAGGGAAAAGTGTAGAACAAGGAGTTCAATCTGTAACTGACTGTGAATAATCAATTGAGACAACTCACTACCTTCGGACAGCCTATGCTGGGGTTCTTAATTAGGGGCTCTACCACTTGAGCCAATGCTCCCAGCCCAGGTTTCCAGATTCTCTTTTTTTCTGATGGGACTGAAGTTTAACCTCAGGCCTTTATACTTGCAAAGCAGGTGCTCTACCACTTGAACCATACCTCTAGTCCATTTGGCTCTGTTTATTTTGGACACGGGATCTTGTGAACTAAATTGCCTGGATTATAGGCGTGAGCCACTGGCAGTTGGCAGTTTCCAGATTCTTTCTACAGTACTAGGGTTTGAACTCAGGACCTATACCTTGAGCCACTCCACCAGCCCTTTTTTTTTTGTGATGGGTTTTTTTTTGAGATAGGGTTTCTTGAACTATTTGCCTAGGCTGGCTTTGAACTGTAATCCTCTTGATCTCAGCCTCCCAGGTAGATAGGATTATAGGCATGAGCCACTATCGCATGGCAGTTTCTAGAGTCTTGTGAATCTAGTTTTCTTCCTTTTATGGTCTTTAGCTAACAGAAAGAGGTGAAGAGAAAGGAACAGTTCTACAGGCAGAGAGAGCAAAGGCAGATAAAAATCAGTTCCTCCATTTCTTTTTCCAGAGCAACACAGATTACCTTCTGTCTTTCTTCACTTATCCCATTTCTGGTCCTCTTCACTGTTTCCCTACCTCTCCCAGTTTTCTTTAATCTTGATAACACTCACCCATACACTGTTGCTGTTGGACCTCTCACTTTCTCCTCAATCACACGAAGCTTAAAGGGGTTATCCTGGAAGAAGGCAGATCGAAGAGTGAAGCCCCAAGATGTCCTGAGAAAGAGCTACTCTACTTTTTTTTTTTCTGTCTTCCCCCTAAAACTGAACATTGTCACCTCACCTTAAAAAGCTGATAAAGCTGATCCTTTGAAGCCTCTAGCCTCCGGAATGGTTGTGCAGCAGCTACAATCTCCTGGCAAATCTGCTCCAAAACAGGCAATTCTGAGCCCTGGATTGTCCTGGAAAGAAGAAAGTTGGTTGGCTTGCTTCCTCTAAGAGGCAACACCTGGGACACACACCTGTTGACTAGGGACTAAAGTAGAGCCCTCCAAGAAAAAAATCCTAGAACTTTTGGCAAAGACAGACAAACTCAGAGAAAACATAAATAGGAAATCAGGAGTGTGTGTGTGTGTGTGTGTGTGTTTCTGGATATCAATCCCAGGGCTTTATGCATAGTAGGAAAGCATTCTACCCTGAGATTTTATAGCTGGAGGAAAAGCTCTATGCACAAAGTTAAAAATTAAGTGCTCGGTCCAGAACATGGAAGACTGAGGCAGAACTGACTGCAAGTTCTTAGCAAGTGTGAAGCCCTGAGTTCAAACCCCAGTACTGCAAAAAAAAAAAAAAAAAAGAGAGAAGTTGGTACCAAGCCACACATCTGTAATCCTAGCTACTTGGGAGCCTGAGATCAGGATGGTTCGAGGCCATTCAGGGGAAATAGTTCATGAGAACCCATATCCAAAAATAACCAGACCAAAATGGACTAGAAGTGTGGCTCAAACAGTAGAGTGCTAGCTTTGCAAGTGTGAAGCCCTAAGTTCAAACCCCAGGCTCATCACAAAAGAAAAAAAAAAAAAAAGTTGGAGCCAGGTGCCGGTGGCTCATGCCTGTAATCCTAGCTACTCAGGAGGCAGAGATCAGGAGAACTGCAGTTCAAAGCCAGCCCCTGCAAACAGCCCCTATCTCAAAAAAATCCATCACACAAAAGGGCTGCTGGAATGGCTCAAGGTGTAGGCCCTGAGTTCAAACCCCAGTACTGCAAAAAAAAAAGTTGGTACCAATGTCACAGATGAGACATAGAGTGGCCCTCTTCAGCTTTCTCTCCAAAGGCCCACGGCCCCAACAAAGGACCTCAGAAATAACCCCAGAATCACTCTCCTTCTTCCTTGTACTACTCACCGCTCCTTTCCCAGGAAGAAATCATGGTAAAACCCATATTCTGTACTTGGACCTCGGCAGAGAATAGCGCCCAGGAATTGCTCAGCTGCTGCCCCCAGAACGTGGGTGCTAGAGTGCCAGAATACCTGGGTTTGTAAAAAAAGTGTTTGTGAATTCATTAACTTCTCTTTTAACTCTGACATCTCTAATCCTTTTCTTAGAGAATCTGGTAGGAACTAGTATGGTTCTTGTAGGATTAACTACCACAAAATGGAGAATCTAGATTTGAAGGTGACCACTAAACAGTAAAAAAGGTTAAAAAAAAAAAGGAACAGAAGGCCAGTATTCTTTCTTCTTTCAATGTCCAGAAGCTTTGGTCCCACTAGTGCTTCAGAGAACACTATCTTCTTAAGACAGTGGTTCCTAGCCAGACATGGTGGCACATGCCTGTGATTCTAGCACTTATCAGACTGAAACAGAAGGATCTCAAGTTTGAGGCCAGCCTGGGCTACACAGCAAAACTGTCTCCAAAAACAAACAAAACAGTGGTTTTCTTTGGTCTTTTTTTTTTTTTTTTTTTTTGAGGTACTGAGGACTGAACCCAGAATCTTGTATATGGCTACATGGCAGGCAAACAGTCTACCACTAAGCTATGCCCCAGTCCTCCGTCTGGTTTTTCAGTCCTGTTTTTTTTTTTTTTCTTAACCCAGGAATCTAGTAAAATGGAGCTACTCTTCTAGGAGTTGGTCATTATTCATACTTGGATGACATAAGAATTCCATTTTTCTGGATCCTAGTAGACACAATCTACATTATCTGAGTTGACATGAAAAGGGCAAAGTGGGGGAGGTGAACAGGTTGTGTGCTTAGTTGTGAAAACCATTTTAGAGTTGAATATACATCATGGATGACTTACAGTGTATGTGTTCAAGAACTGAAAAGATTGAATGGGCATATTATACTTCTCTTTCTGAACTTATTATCTCTCTCCTTTAATTGCACAAATGATGTTTGCTTAATAGACTAAGGCTAAATAAAAACTTTGATCACAAGTTTCCAGCTTAGCCAGGAATAGTCAAATGGTTAATACAGTCAGTGGTAGGCCTCCCAACTGCAAATGGAGAAACTGAGACAAAAGAAATGTTAGAATTTCCTGCTTAAATATCTCTTAATTTACTAGCCATTGTACTCTGTATACAGAAGAAACTTACTGCTTTCCCCTCTGGGGAGTCGAATGTCAGAAATCTGAGGTCAGAATCTGTCTCCAAGGGCCGCTCTAGATCATAAGGTTCTCCATTCACTTGAGCAGCCACTGCAGTATCAGCCAGTGTTGAACTTCAGCAGTGGGGGTGGGAATGAAGAAAAAAGTCAGGGTTACAATCCACAACAGGCCACAGGCAAGTATCTCAGCAAGTCTAAATTGGCCAAGGAGAAATGAGTTTCCAGAGCAATAAAACCAATCATTTCTTTCCCCAACCAATAATGGAGAAAGGGCAGATATTGTGAAATAAATGCAGATAAATCCTCCAGAAGAAAGACAACCTTGATGGGGACAAAATACAAACAAGTAGACCAAGTTTCCTTTCCCTTATCAGGTGCAGGGGGAGTAAAAGGGCAGAAGGATAATTCTGGTAGGCACAGAATAGACATGCTTACCTGATTTGCTGGGCTAGTTGGTAAGGGGTTGTGTTCCACGCCACAGCATCCACTTTTTGGCCTCCAGGAAGTGATATCTTAATAGTCCGGGGTCCCTTCTGTGCCATGCTTCCCAACCTTTTTACCTGAGCAGCCCATAGCTCCTCAAAGACGCCAAATCGCTCCGCCAACCAATGTGGAGTGACAGACACAGAGGCCTGAAGAGAAAGATGTTTCAGGAGGTATCACAGGTCCTATTTCGGGATCGGGGGTGGGAGGATCTGTGGATATTTAAGTGGTCTTGGTCCTAATCTCTGGACTTTAAGGGGGATTGGGTCTTACGCTGGGGCTTCTAAGGGACTCTACGCTCCACTGGCTGCTGACTCTAGAAACAGATGGCTAGTTTAGGGACAGGGTGGTCTGGTCCGGTAGTTGGGAGCGCAGGAGAGTAGCTATGGTGAGACTGGGTCGAGAGCGTACACTTTGGGTCTTGGTTGGATCCGAACGCTCGGAACTTTTGATACCTCACGCACCGAGTGTAGCTCGAAGGCTTGCAACCCCAGGAGCCCGAGCCGGAGACGGAGCGATCGCCACCTCTGATACAGCCCCATGTTTCTTCAAATCGGTCACTACATCCTCAGACTACCGCCGCTTCTCCTCCTCCAGATTCCTAATTGGTTTCTAACCCAACAACGTTCTCGCCTATTGGTTAAATACATGCCATTCTGGTCTGGCACCACCCCCAGGAACTCTGAAGAGTCACACCCCCCCACAGCAAGAGCTGCCTTGTCAGTGGTTCCGCCTGACCGGAAGATGGAAACTGTTACACACAGCTGCAATCCCGAAGACCGCTGAACTCCTGCTGAAATCTCAAAGTAGCAATAAGGTGTCTTGCAGCTTTGAGGACCGGGGCAGAACTCTTGATGGTGAGAGTGGGAGAAAAGCAGATGGGAAATGGTAGTCATTTCCCTTTAGCCATAAAATTTCGTATACATGATCTCTAAGGCAGGCAAGAACAACAGCATAGACTTTGGAACCAGGTATCTAATTAAAGTCCTGGATCTGCCATTTACTAATTTTTGTAAGTTATTTAATTTCTCTAAGCCTCACTTTTCTCATCTATGGAATGAGAATAACAGTATCACTTCCAATTGGTGAGATAATTGCCTAGCATAGTGTTTAGAATATGGTAATGAGCATCAGGCACAAGAAGCCATTATAGTAAATGGATATAATAACTTTAAGGCTGGAGAAAAGAATCCATAGAGGTCACTTCTTGGAATTCTTTCATACTCACGGTGCTTTAAGAGGGACCTTTGAACCTTCTTAATCTTACAGATGTGGAATTTAAGGTCAGAGAAGATAAATTATTTAAGGTCAACCAGTAAGTGCTGATACTGGATTCTGAATCCAAGACTTGAGGGCTGCGGGTGTGTGGCTCAAGTGGCAGAGTGCCTGCCTAGCAAGTGGGAGGCAGGGAGTCTAAACCCCAGTACTGTCAAAAATAAATAGCACACTGAACCCAAGACTTGCACTCTTCCATTACATCATACTTTCTGTAGTAGGGCAGTTTTCTATCAACATACTCCCCTTCACCCCTGATGACTTTAGCTTTCTGCTACCTACATAAGCCTTTTGCCTCTCATTCCCATCACAGCTCTCTATTTCTTTTATCCCTTCTCTTCCCTCACCCTGTTAAATCTAGGATACAGGACTACTTACATTTCATTAGTTTTACACAGCAAAAATAGAAACATGGTTAGATTTGTAGTAAAGGAAATGAGCTTATGGGCAGTCTGAGGCTCTCAGTAATTCCAATTAGTCCCTCACCTGAGGGTGGGGATCGTTAGAGTTGGTTCTCAAGTTTCAGCAGTGATGGAATCAAGGGTTGTGGTGGAAGAGTTGTCAGAAAAAGCTGTTTAATCTAGTCTCCAGAGAGGCCAGAAGTTCTGTCTGGGGAAGGCAGTTGATCTGAGTCATAGGCACCACCACTCTGAGTCTTGGCTCCATCTTCTGGTATGGTAGACACCCTGAAATACAAAGAGAGACAAGACTGTGGGAGAGGAAGGTTGCTTGTGTGTTTGTGATCAGAAAGTAGTAAGAATTTTCAAGTAGCATTCAGAAGGGATGACAATGACAGGCCGAATTTTTCTTGTGGTTCTGTACCAAAAGGAGGAGAGGGTTATACTGAAGGCAACAAAATGGTAGGTGCTTACTAATAATTATTGAATTAAGTATGTACCAATCACTGTCCTGACTTGAAGCTTCAACAAATACAAACACTGATGCAATTTCTTTAATCATACTACCTGTCCTCTTTTGTTAAGATCATGGAGGGATGGTGGAATAAGTTAGCTACACTGAGATGGCAGCTCCCTACACTCATCTCTTAAACATGTACTGACTGCTTACTGCATGCAGTGCACTGAACTGGATGCTGAGGTGACACTAGTCGATCAACCACCACATCATCACTTACATAACTTGTGTTGCAGTGGAGAAGCAATGCCAAGGTATTCCATCCCACCTCTTATAGCAAGCAAGACAGCTTAGGTCAATTCCTTAATTATTGGTTTATTCTTCTACTTCTTACTAGCATATGCCTCAGCCTCAGGGAATTGTAACCCGTTATTCTCCCTGAAATTTCTTGTTGCTCACCCCATCCCACTCCTGCGTGTCAGAAAACCACTGAACACCTACTGTGTGCAGTACTATTTCACCATCTCATTTAATTCCTAACAACTCTGTCAAGTGGTGTTCTTATGCTCCATTTAAAACATGGAAAATGGAGTTCTCAGAGTAGTTCAAGTGGTAGAGAGGCTGCCTAGCAAGCAAGAGACCCCAAGTTTCCCATTTTTGGGAAAACAAAAAAAGGGAAAATGATGAAGAGAAGTCAAGCCTATTCTATCTGAATCCAAAGCATGGCTTGTTTACACTGTGCTCTGCTGCCTTTTAGGGACCACATTAGTCAAAATGCATCCTATTTGTAGTGCTGCTCCCTTTCCTCTCCAGGGTACTCAACTCAAGACACTTGTGGTCCAAGAGAACTTTAACATAGGATAAAGAGCTGTTTCCGATAAAAAGCCAAGAAAAAAGGCGTCTTCTAGCTTTTCTCTACCAGACTGAAGGAAAAAAGAAGGAAATAACACTGAAAGATTTCCACAGAAGTGTAGGGAAAAGGGAATCTTCAATAAATGATGTCCTGATACTCTTTAAGTTTTATGAAATTCTCAGCTTTACTCCACTCTTACAAGAGACATCCCATGTTGGTTAAAGCCTCAGTTGAAGTGTTTTGTTGAGGTAAGGTCTGGCTATATAGCTGGCAGTCCTCAAACTTGTGATCCTCCTGTCTCAGTCTTACAAGTGTTGGTTTATAGATGAGTGCCACCATTCCTGGCAAAGTAATATTCTTACAGATTTTAAACTATTTTTTAAATACTCTCCATTGAAAATAAAACACACCAGGATCAGCACATACCTCCACATCTATCTTAGAGGGTTATTTTGTTTTTTGGCGGTACTGGGGTTTTAAACTTAGGGCTTTGCATTTGCAAAACAGGCCCTCTACCACTTGAACCACACCCCAGTCCCTCTATCTTAGAGCAAATTCCTCCAAGTCCCTACGCCAAGGTAAAGAAGGCATTGGAGGTAAAAAAGAGAAATTTAGTAATGCAAAATATAAAAAGATCCATGTCATTGTCAACACAAATGCTTTTTTCTTTTTGTGGTGCTTGGCATCAAACCCAGGACCTAGGGTCTACCACTGAGTTATACTTCCTAGCAAGTATTTTTGAGGCTCAAAGATGTAGCCAGTTGCTAAAGGAACAGGAGATGGTACAGAAGTTAGGTTTACTTAAAAAAAAAAAAAATCCTTAATAAGTGGAAAATGTAGGACGGGGCTAAGCTTTTATACTTTACTAACTTCTACTGTACTTGGCAATGACTTGCTACCCTAAGTGTTGTCTCATGCAGGTATAAAGAGCTCTACCTTCTAGAGGGGGAAACAACTGGATGGTGTCAGTCTCCTTTTTCCCCATTTCAACTGACACCACCCCCCACGAAGTTTCAAATCCTCTTTTCCACATATTACTCAGCAAAGGACTTGAGTATTTCTCAAAAAAACAAGGGGAAACAATGGGAATATGGAAGTAAATTTGCTGGAACATTTAATTTGCTATGAACCTGAACAGGTCCAAGGTGACTGGTTTAGCCAACATCCTTTTGAGTCAAACACGAAAAGCTGTAGCCTCTGTTTGTTTCAGTTGACATTAAAGAACTCACTAGTCAATCCACCCACTCTGTATTCTCAACATTTGACTTCTGCCTAAGTGAGAACAAAGGGAAAGGACTGAAAAATACCAAACAAAAAATAGGCAAGGCATCTGCTGAAGCCTGTAATCCTAACTACTTGGGAAGCTGAGATGGGGAGGATAGCAGTTCGAGGCCAGCTTGGGCTAATAGTTTGTAAGACTCTATTTCAAAAATAACCAGAGCAAAATGGACTTGGAGGTGTGGCTCAAGTAGTAGAGGGCCTGCTCTGCAAGGGCAAAGTCCTGAGTTCAAAACCCCAGTCCCACAAAAAAAAAAAAAAAAGGCTAGGGTATGGCTCTATGGTAACACAAGCACTTAACATGTATGAGGCCTAGGGTTCCATCCCTAGTAACCTGCACCCCCCATCATAATGTAACTAATTATGTCTAAATAGATCCTAGCCCTCTTGTCCTTTTCTCATTTTCTCCCTTCCTCCCTCAGCAGCATCAGCAGTAACTTGAATCTAGTTTTACATCACACCTGCTTCTTTCTTTTAAAGCACATGTGCTTGTCTTTACTTCTACACATACGAACAGGCTGTTTACTTAAGAGTGGTATCTCATATTGATGGCCCTCTAGTAGCCTTGTCTACGCAAGCCTCGATGAGTTATTACTCAGAAATTATGAACAGCAACTGATCAGACTTGTCTGCAGTTACTCATAAACAAGTATGAGAAACATCCCAATACCCAAAAACCCATTCTGAAGGTGTGTTACTATGTCTATACACTCAAAGAGTAACTCATACCTGTTACAAGATCAGCTTAAGTAAAAACAATTTAGGGGAAGTCATCAGTAACATGTCTACAAAGGCCAATGAGGAAGCTAAAAGTTGTTGCTTCCTTAGAGGTAGAGACAGGAGCCAGAAGGCAAATCTGAGGTCCCAAGAGGGTACAAGGAAGAAAGGGTGAGCCAGATTCCAAAGGCACCCAGTTGGGTGGTACACCCTACCTGCTGGGTGTGTTCCTAGACTATTTCTGAGGTGTATCCTGTGACATGTACAGAGATCCACGTAATCAAGATTGCTATTTACAGCCTACTACCCTGCCAGTGACCTGGCCTGGACCAGATGCAGTGACAATCCCTCTTTACCCCTTAAAGCCAACATTCCTTTTATTAAGCCTCATTGGGTTATGAAAAAGGGATGGGCTAAGAGAGAAGGTTAAGTGTCGCTTCTGCACAATAGATTGCCAATACGCTGCAAGATGGGTAAATATAGGGAAAGAGTTGACCAGAAGCAGCCTTACCACACTCTCCCGTTTCTCTGCTTGTTAAAAAAAAATGCTTCTTGGCTCACAATTGTACAACTTCTAGAAGACATACAAATAATTATCCATACAGTATATCCCACTTCATTATCATCACTCCCTGAATATCTTGGTCTCATTCTATCCATTACACAATTATACAAAGGATCAAACAGAAAACCCACAAAGTCATGGAGATCTTAGCAGCTCTGACAGCCTTCAGTGACGTTAAGTTCGGAAGTCATAAAGGGACAGCTGGACATGATCAACGTGAGGGGAAAAGTTAACCACACAACAAAGAAAACCATACTTTATTAAAACTGGAAAACAAAATATTGGGGACAAAGATTTTTTTTTTTTAAAGGAATGGCTGAGGAGAGGAAAGTGTAAGTTGTCATGAGAAAGGGATGAGATGGGTGGTCTGTGGCATCATTCTGTGTGCCTCAGCAATGGGTGGGCACACACACCAGTCTCTATCCCCTTCCCCACATACCCTTAGAACAAAAGACCATACAATTGCATCTTCAAAGATAAACGCAGGCTTTTCTTTCTATATTCTGTAGTTGCTTTCACTTTCAGCCCTGGACAGTCATGTTGGATCTTCACTGGAGAAAATTTAGGTTTTCAAACCACCAGTCTGCTTCACAAAGCAGTAGTTTCGGCCTCCGAAGTTCAATCCTATTTGCACTCACAAGAGAAGCCCAGGGCCCTTGGTCAAAGCCCCAGTCTCAAAGAAAAATGTCAAACCTTTAGAACTAGTTATTTTATTAAATGATATTAATACACATTTCAAAAGGATGTCATTGTTGTTCTTTCTAGAGCATGTACTGGTTTTCCACACTGAGCACGTGAGAATATCAATCCAACATATCTAATTTTAATCTTAACAGGCACTCCCAATTTAAAAAGGGGAGGGAGGAGAGAAGCAGTAATTTACAGCAGCTTTAAAACATTAACAGCTGAAGCTTAACTCTGCCTGAACAGGTAACTTCAGGACTGATAGTGAATATTCTGCAATTAGGAAGTTTGGTATATTCACATTGTCTAGATAAGTTTGCTGTACCATGTATCTCACAAACATTGTGTTCCTGGTATTAGAAAGGATAAAAATCCTACTCTCTGCTCATTTTACCTAATTCCCTGAAATCAAACCAACTTTTGATTTACCTTAACTCTTGGGAGGGAAGGGGGGGGGCAGGGAGGGAGCTCTCACCTATGCAGACTGAAGAGAGAACTGTTTACAGAATACTTAAGGACACTATTTCTGATACCGTATCATGATACTAGTGTATTCACTAGAATTCTTTGTCTGTGATTTTACAGTGAGCACCAAGGACCTTAATGACAACTTCTCATATTCTTTCATATGAATCATGTCCTTGCTAAGACACTATATTATGCATTCTTTAAAAAATACTTTGTTTATTTTTTTTAAACTCAGGGTGAAATAGAAAAGTCAGAGCATGGTCACGAAGTTTAAATCACAGACACAGAAAGAATAAAACCCCTTTGTTTCATGTTTATGAATGTCAGAATTCTTTTTGTTTCACTATATCACATATATACATTGTCTTCGTTTACTGTTGTGGACAGTCTCATACAAATCCTCACTTCCATCCTGAAACAAATGCACTGAAGATTTTGTGGCAAAAACAAAATATCCCACAAAAAAACCACTGAAAGTCCATCTTTGAACAGTGCAATGTCTTCCTTTCATTTATCAGCCATCAAACTTTTGAGGACAATTACCCCAATATCCAGGACATCCGCTTTTTCTAGTAAAATCAAACGGTCAGAGAGCCTTTTCAAGTAAATACTACATTTAGTTTAAACAAGAGCAGCAAAAGGAATTCATTCTTTTACTCTAGAATGATAAACATCCCATTTAATTTTTGCAAAATAAAATTTAATTCTCCAAGTCAAATAGAATCTCCCCTACCCCCACCCCCATTCTTTCACTCTCTTTTATGCTTTTTTTTTTTTTTAAAACTAATGTTTTAGTACTCAATGTAACTATACTTTCTTGACTTTGCTATACTATATACCCTACTTACACACAGGTCATGGTATCATGCATTTTTCTGGGGAGAGCTACAGGGCAGAGAGACTTGAAGAGGGTCAAAGGAAGAACAGCTGGCTTAAGACCAGATATGCTTTAGGAAGATGAATGATTTGCTGCACCCTAACAGAACACAAGGTGAGCTCAAATAAATAACATGAAATATGTTACACAAAACTCTCAAGCTAGGATGCACACCTAGTTTAGGCTACTTTCTCTGAAAAGCAGGTTTATTCTGAGACAAAGAATGATCTTCTGTCACTACTCTCTCATCATCTTCTGCTCACTTTCTTCCATCTTTTATGCCACTGGAGAAATCCAAAGCAACTCTTGTATTTCCCTATAGTTAGTTCTATACTAACTTGGGAGAAAATATGAAACTTGTTAGGATTCCTTAAAAAAAAAAAAAAACACTGTTTTGCTTATTTAGTCAGAGATTATCAGTGTGTACCTTGGGGTAAAACACTAAATAAAAAAACTTGCAGTAAGCAGTATTTGCTTTTCAGTTATCGCTAGATACAAAGATATAAACAAAGTACAGTGATTGTCTCTTTTCCCAAGTATTAGATGTAGAAATACAAACAAGATTTTTAATTCAGCGAGAAGGAAAGAACTTCTCTCGAGTGTAAAATGACTAAGGGCAGAAATATTCTTTATACCAGTTGGGGGTGGGAGGTGGGGACTTATCCAAGGCTTGACCTTTGAACAATGTATCAGGCTGTTATCTGCAGAGTGGGGTCAATTTGGATTGATGAGGTCCTTTTGTTTCCCTACAAAGACATGAAGTACAATACCCGCCTGTTTCTAACACATACCTAAAGGGGTACAATAGAAGATACTACTGCATTTCCTCCCTTGAACTACTGAGAATAGGGTGAATACAGACTGAGACAAGGGGGAAAGGAACACAAAGACAAGTATTTTCCTTTCTCTAATAGTTAAACATTTACTGAAAACCACCACCAAGGATCACAGTAGGGAGGCACCATGGTAAAATCAATGTTTACTTCTTATAATTAAAACGCAGGGATATATCAGTTGCATCTTTGTATCAATTGTCAACTGTGGTAACTTTTTAGCCAAAATAGAAGTGGAAACTGAAGGAGAAAAAAAAAAAAAAAGTCAGGGAAGAGAAACAGGAGGAAGCAAGGGTTTAATATAAGATATGTGGAAACTACTTCAAAACGTTTCCTGTTTTCTCTCATTTACAAAGGATAGTCAGGTTACATCACACCACTAATGATTACTTTCTTAGCTTTAAATGTCTGCAGTCACTCCTTATTTTAAACTTCAAATTATATTCAGCCCCCACACTTTCACTGCAAGGACAAAGAGAAAGCTTTCTACTATGACAGAATGAAGTTTGTACTACCTCAAAGTTACTGCCTGATAGTAGTTCAGAGAAAGAGGGTGGATCTAAAAAAAAAATTTTTTTTTAATTTTAGAAGGGTAAAGAACTCAATTTCAACATGCCTTTAAGAACAAAACAAACCTGACAGGCCCAAGGTCTCCCACATTTCTCCCTTACAACAGCTCTTGTCTGTCAGCAGAGCACACAGATACAAGGAAGGGAGCCAAGTTGGTCACTACAGTTGCTTAGTTGGAGGAGGAAGGGGAGAGAGACCCTTCTGTTGACTACTGACAGGTCAAGCCCCAAATAACACCCCAACATTGCACGTTATTATCTGTACTGATGGAAGTTTTATTTCAAATGTAGTAATACTCTCCAATAGATGGGACAGAATATTGTTTTCCTCCCCACTCCCCAAGCCCCCAGCCAAATGAAATGGCTTTGGTTGTGTATACTTTTTTTTTTTTTTTAATACAAACAACTTGGGGAAGGTAATAAGTGCAGTGGGAGACAGGACTGGATGGAATTGTAAAATGTAAGCATGTATGACTTTTTAATTTGGAAGGGAGACCCTTCATAAAAAAACAAGAGAGGGAAAACAAATAAAAACAATAACAATAAACCCAACTACTACTTCCAAAGCTCTCTAGACTGTTCAAAATGCCTTTCCCTTGGTTTCCATCAGTACCTGGGAGGGAAGAAAGGGCGTTTTGGTGCAAAGAACGGAGGGCCCCTAGCAAAAGGTGGCCTGGGTCTCTTTAAACTGTGGAATGGGTCTCTGCCAAGAAAAGGTTCCCTAGGCCGAAAGTCTGGCCGGGGACTCCGTAAAATCATACCACTCCGGTTGATGGCGTCTCTGTGTGAGGGACCCAAGGGGAGGCCACTGCTGCTGTTGCTGCCTCCCCCACCTCCTCCTCCATGGATTGGGGCCAGGTGCTCCAGAGAGTGGGAGGGTAGGCTCAGGCTCTCACGTACACGGCTAAGGCCAGGGCCGTTGAGGTCCCGCTGGGTAGGGCCCCCATGGTCCCTGGGTCCTGTGAGAACCCCAAAATGCTCAGCCAGGGTCCCTTGAAGGAGGGAACTGTGGTCCTTGGGAAATACTGCCACAGTCCCTGCCACTCCATGCTCTGCCAGTGGTGGGGTTGGGAAGGGCACAACCCCAGAGTGGTCAACAGGGGGTGGAGGAGGGGCTGGAGAAAAGGGGACACCACTCCCACCAGTGCTATGCTCCCCAGGGGGTGGCGGAGGGGGTGGGGTTGGGAAAGGTACTCCGCTGTGCTCTCCAGGAGGAGGCGGTGGGGCAGCATGGGCCAGGGCCGCCTCCTTGGTGAAGGGGTTCGAAAGATCCACAGAGGGTAGATGAGTGGGCGCATCTCGAGAGAAGATACCACCATGATCCTTAGGAGGGGCAGGTGGGGCAGATGATGGCCCCACTGGCTCTCTCTGGAAGGGTGTCCCATGTTCCAAGGGGGATGGGGGGAGATGATGCTCAAATGTTGAGTTGAAACTGTTGGAACGAAAGCTGCTGACACTCTCCTGAAATTGGGGTGCCCGTTCCTTGTATGCTGCTGTTTTAAAGCCAGTGAGGCCTCCGCTGCCCCCACCCCCAAGGGATGCCAACTCAGAGGCACTTGAGGGACCATTGTCGAATGAGCTGCCTGAGGTGCTCAGATCAAACCAACCCACCCTTGAAGCCTCACGCCCGTGTCCTCTATTTCCCTTCCCAGGAACTCGGATGGACTCTACTGTCTGAATTGGCTCCCCTGACATCCTCCTATTGGCTGCATTATGATAACCCAAAGTTTCTATAGGGGCACCCTTTTCTTCTGTGCTATCAGGCAAGTCTAAGCAGGAGGAGGAGACGCGGGTTTCTATGCGGTAGTGCTCTTCTTGTTGCTGCTGATCAGTGGCGGTCAAGCTGGGCTGAGTGAGGTTTGAGAGACTGACACCATCACTTGAAGTGCCCTTGTTGGGGGTCTGGCCAAAATGCTTATCATCTGAGGGCTTGCGTGAGGCGTTTTTAAGCATATTCTTAAACTCAATCGTCGATGTGGTGGAAATGGTGGAGGCCAAGACTTTCTCCATGCCTGATGTGGGTGGGTGGCTCGTGGGAGCGGCAAGGGTATTCTGCGGAGAGAAAAGGGAACGATGTGGGACTGGGTGAGGAGAGTCTGGGTACTGCTTCTGTGGCAAACTGAGATGCCCAGTGGTAGACTGAGACAAGCTATTGTGGTTGGAGTCAGGGGTGAAAAATGAATCATTCTTACTCGGTGATGGTGACCGGTCAGACCCAGGTTCACTCCCTCTTATGCTGAAGGCACCAAAGAGCCCAGGGGAAGATGAGAGACGGTCACAGTTTTCACTAGAGTCCAGGAGGGCCCTTACAGATGGAGGGAAAGCAGACTTTACCCCAAATTCTTGGGCCCTGTGGCTATAACTGGACAGAATTGGCTGGTACTCAGTGGCATCAGAAAGCTTGCTTGATTTCAGGATAGATTTGGCTGGTTTCTTCTCTAGGTTCATCATGGCAGAGGGTGGAGGCCCTGAATACTCAAAATCTCGGTAATCTTCATCTTCTTGGAAAGAAGTATCTGGAAAAAACTTTTCCTGTGAAGAGTCCATCAGGGAAGATGATCTCTCCATTCCATCAGAAGGCTGCTTATAGGGAGATTCACTGCCCAGGCCAAAGGGTCGATATGAAGAGACAGAATTGGAGAGGTCCCGGGCATAGCTTTCATCTCTCCCAGGGGGTGGTGATCTTGTACTGCTGGGTGTTGAGGAACCAGGGCTAATGATCTTAGAAAGCAGGGACATAGTATCTACACTGCTGGATGTGGGCTTGTCCATCATCTCATCCTGGGTGGGTGTCCCACTCCGTTCATCCCGTACAGGGGTTCCATCAATGTTGTCAATTGAGGTGCTAGTAGGGCCACGCTGGAAGTCTGAGGAATGGCTCTCTGATGGGGCACTGGACCCCAAACTGCTCAGGATTGGGATGTTTAAGTTTAAGCCACTGAAACCAGGATTACCTTTTAAGAAGTTGTGGATCTTCATTTCCAGGCTTGGGGAGGTGGACTCTGACTCCAGCTTTGGCTTGGAGACCTCTGAAGATTGGCACATAGCAACTTCAGTAGGTGGAGCAGCAGAGCTAGTATTGTGGGTGCCTGTAAACCCTATGGAGTTGGATGGAAGTTTAAAAGTAGTGCTTGGGAGCCCTGGGCTTTGCCCAATTGATGCTTTGCTGGCTGAAGTTGAAGAGACTTCAGAAGTTGATGAATTAGGAGAATAGTTGAAAGTTTTGGGAATAAAAGATTGGGTATTAGAGGGAAGATTTCTTCCCTTTATGGTAGAGACTGTGGTGTTGGCAGGGGAGGATGAAGTGCTCTGGGATGCAGCTTCAGTGGCTGAAACTGGGTTCCCAGTAACACTCTGAAGTAAAGATGACAGACCTGTAGAAACAAAGATTAGAGGGGTTAAAAAGAATAACTCCCTACCACGTAACAAAAACAATGTAGGCTTATTAGGTGTTATCATTCATTCTGGTGGGAACCAGAGAGACTTTAAAATATGAAGCCAAAGGGAATCAAGAGCAAATAGGCAATGGCTAAAGTCACAGAAAACACTGGACCTATTTAGCACACCACTGAAATGTTTCCAGCAAAGTCCAAAAACAAGCCAATAACAAAAGGTAACAGGAAGGGAGGGATTTTAATGTCAAAATCATTCATAGTTTAAATAATGTGAAGCAAAAAATAAAGGAACCAAAATTATTCCTAAAACAACACCTTAAACTAGTATTTCTTAATGTTTGATCTGTGAAAATGTTTCTCTAAATTCAAATAAATATTCTGGGTTTCCACCCTCCACCACTGTTTCTAGTAAGTTAATGAACACTGCTATTTTCAAGAGGAAGATAGCACATATGCAAAAATTCAGAAGTTTATCTGAACAGGGAATAGTTTTTCAAGAAGTATCTCTTGCTAGTTTGGTGTTGCCTTTTTGAAACAATGTTTTCCTTTTTTTTTAAAGGGGGGTAGTACATTTGAGTCTTGAACTCATCATGACCATCCTGCTTCAGCTTCCTTAGTGCTGGGATTATACACATGAGCTACACACAACTATACAAAATGTTTTCATGAAATATTTGACAAATAAATAATAAAAAATCCTATCAATCTGATCTTATTTTGGAAAATTCATCCAGTTTCTGGCCATAAATGGAAGTTTTAAAACTTTCACCCAACTTCATAGCTCTTATTCACTAAATACACTGAAACTATCTCCTGGAAATGGTATGCTGACAGAAAGTAATACTTAGATGATATGATACTCCAATTAATGTTTTTTTAAAATGTCAGTTTTAACCGGTATTTGCTAAGAGATTTGAAATATGAGGAATTTTTTGTTTTGTTCTTGTGTGTGTGACAGTCTTGCCATGTATCCCAGACTGGCCTGGAACTCATTACTTAGCACAGAGTAGTCTTGAATTTGTGATCCTCTTGCACTAGTCTCCCCAGTGATGAGATTTATGGGTGTGTGTCATCACATTTGGCCAGGTCTAAAGAATTTTAAAGCCATCTGATCCTGGTAACTTTTTGGTTTTTTTTTTGATGGTACTGGAGTTTGAACTCAGGGTTCTGTGCTTGTTAGGTAGGTGCTCTACCACTTGAGCTATGCCCCTAGCCTCCTTGTAACATTTTTAAGTCATTTACTTCTAAATAATGCTGCCTGCTTTTCACTATTATCTAATAACTGAATATTAGATATTTAATAATGTCCAAACAATTGAAATGTTAACTTTAGTTATTATTCTCTTGAAAATGAAAAGCATGTTTCTTTCAAAAAAGTTCCCTAGGTATGTATTTTTCCCCTCCTAACAGATTAATCCGTAGCCATCATTGTTCTCACAAAACCTAGAAATCCTCAAGTGTTAGAATGTAACATATGATAATATAATATTAATTTTTTTGAGGTACTGAGGATTACACATGCTAGGCAAGAGCTCTTTGCCCTAAGCCCCTTTAAGAAAATTATTTAGGCTGGCTGCCAGTGGCTCACACCTGTAATCCTAGCTACTCAGGGGGCAGAGATCAGGAGAATCGAGGTTCAAAGCCAGCCTGGGCAAATAGTTCATGAGACCCTATCTTGAAAATACCTAAACACCAAAAGGGCTGGTGGAGTGGCTCAAGGTGTAGGCCCTGAGTTCAAGCCCTAGTATGGAATTCAAAAAAAAAGACAATCTTGTTTAGATAGTACAGACTTTTGGGAATAGGTAAAACTGTCTTTCACCACTAAATACTACTTTTCTTTTTGGTAGAACTGGGGTTTAAACTCAGGGCTTTGCATTTTCAAAGCAGGCATTCTACCACTTGAGCCACATCTCCAGTCCATTTTACTCTGATTATTTTGGAGATGGGGGTCTCATGAACTATTTGCCTGGGCTGACCTTGAACCATGACCCTCTGGATCTCAGCCTCCCAAGTAGCTAGGATTGTAAGAGTGAGCCACTGGTGCCCACCTACTACTTTTCTTTAATCTTAACAAGCCATGAAGTCTTTCTCTGTGTTGACAAATCTGTCAGTAGGGCTGTGGATAACATGATGAGAATAAAGCTCTAAGAGATTTGTTACAGTCTTTCAGTGAGCACATCTGTTTATATTGTTGGACAAATCCTGAGAAAAGTTAAGGAGAATTCTATGTTCCACAAGCAAAAGATGGTGAACTACCCCATCACTCCAGAAAGGTTGTTTTCTGGGGTTCTCATTTCTCATTTTGTCAGAAAATGTTTAGTTCTAGTCACATTTTGCCTGATAAAAAAAGCCCATTACAATACTGTTGCAGCAATCTGAAAAAAGGAGAAGCTTATCTTTAGGATATAGTACTGCTGTAAGCACAAAGTTCTAAGTTCAAACCCCAGTCCCACACACTCACATAAAAAAACAGATGTAGTACAGTACTTATATAAGCTAAAACAAATAAGCTCAGGATTTTTATTGTAACTACTGGTTGGTGAGAAAAGAGGGCCAGAAGTGTGGCTCAAGTGGTAGGTCACTTGCTTAGCATGAGCAAGACCCTGTGTTCAAATGAGAGGGGAGAGAGGAAGGGGGAGAGGGGAGAGGGGAGAGAGGGAGAGGGGAGAGACAGAGAGAGAGGAAAATCACAAAGATGTCAATTTATCAAATGAATTGTCCCTGGAATTAGGAGCACAAAATGTGCTATAGCATTGTCATCAATTCTGGTCTTTTTTTTTTATTTTTTGTGATTGGGCCTGCTATGTAGCCCAGGCTGGCCTCAAACTCAAGATCCTCCTGCCTCAGCCTCCTGAGTGCTGGAGTTACTAACACCATCAGTTTTTTTATTGTTCGTACCAGAAGATGGGAACTGTGGATCACTGCTTAATAGTATTTAGTTTTATGCAATAAAATTCTTCTATATCTTAAGGAAAAGTAGTAATAATTGACTGATTGATCCAGGTATTTACTGAACAGTTTAGGAAACAGAAAATTAATAGATATTTATACTGCTCTACTCATATAAAGCAGTTTGTTAACCTCAGCACTATAGACATTTTGGCTTGGATAATTCTTTGCTGTTGGGGGGCTGTCCTATGCATTACAGGATGTTGAATAACATCCCCCTGGCCATGACCTACTAGATACAATAGTACCCCCACCCCAGTTGTGACAACTAAAAATGTCTCTAATCACTGCCAAATGTCCCCTAGAACACCCTGATGAGATTACTGATACATAGTAAATTACTGCAATGAAGATCCGCTCTGGTATTTATAATTCATTGTATAATTATACTGAGTTATGAAAAAGGGTTGTATTGGTATATGGAGGATAAGAGTAGAAAGATCAGGTAAGCTTTATGAAAAAATGTTAGAAGCAGTTTCATGAGCAAAACATGACTGGCAAAGCTGAATGGAACAGTTCAAATGATGCAGAGATTATAGGAAGGAGAAACAAAAAAGTTTTACTATATATAGAGACCTCTACAAAGTATTAGGACACAAAGATATTCATCCCTCTTAAGATCTTTTGATAACAGACCTTTCTTACTGTCTTTAGCTTTGGTTAACATTAAACTACATAAAGGTCAACCTGTAATAAAAACTCTGATTATTTTAATCCCTGGGGGTGTCAAGGTGTAGGTGGGAGAATACTGGGATCCGATAAAAAAATATGGTTTTTATTACTGGCTTATCACTGAACAGAAAGATGTATGACTTTTAAGCAAGTAACATCACCTTACTGACCCTTAGTTTCCTTGCCTGACAGGGAAAGGCATTGGACTAGATAAAATTTAAACTCTCTTTCAGTTCTGACATTTTATTTTTTATTTGTAAATTTTATTTATTATTTATTTTGGCAGTATGGGGTTTGAACTCAGGGTTTCATGAACTCAGGCACTCTACTGCTTGAGCTGTGCCTCTAGTCCTTTTTGCTCTGGTTATTTTGGAGACAGGGTCTCACTTTTTGCCCAGGCTGGCCTGGTCGGAGATCTTCCTATTTGATACTTCCAGTCATTGCTTGGATGACAGGCACATGCCACCATGTCCAGCTTTCTTCTATTGAGGTGGGGTCTCTAAAACTTTTTTTCGCCTTGGTTGGCCTGAACCATGATCCTCTTGATCTCAGCCTAGCCTAACAGGTGCATGCCACCACACCCTAGCTATTGGTTGAGATGGGGTAATGTGAACTCTCTGCCTTGATTGGCCTGGAACCTTGATCCTTTTGATCTCAGCCTCCCAAACAGGTAGGATTACAGGGGTAAGCCACCCATGCCTGGCTAGCTTTGACATTATATAATTCTATAAATGTCCTCTTGTAAATGATAAAGACAATAATGAATTAAATGTATTATACATTTCATGGTTCTGGATTTCTCAGAACTGGAATCCAGGATTTCACCAGAGACAAGCATTCACAATTCAAGACCCTCTGGCACATGTCAGTTTACCTTGCAGTGCAGGGGCTGACTGTGTCTGGGTTTTGGAAAGAGCAGACAGAATGCTCTCTGGGGTGATCTCCACCTTCGAGAGGATATTTGCCAAAGGGTTGTGAGATGTTGTCGTGGCAGGTGCAGGTGTTTTCAAGCCACTGGTGAGGTTGCTGGGACTGGTAGGAGTTCCTGGAGAAGGTCTTGATGCAGGACTGACCCCTGGTGGCAGAAAGATGAACTCAAGAAAATGCAATTCAAAATGACCTTTCAATTCATGACATTTTCCACTCATTCTAATGAGTGTGATGTGTTTAATAGCAATTCTTCTGTGACTGATCCACAAATGGTCCCTATCATGACATGTACAAACAAAATAAATCTGAAAACCAGATTAAGATATGCTTCTTCTACTTGAACACCCTTAAAATGAACAAGTATTAAGTTACTTTCATACATATTCATTAGTTTTTGGAGCCCAAATGACACCAGGCAACCTACTCCTTTTTTCTGTATCAGATGGTACGTACCTACACCTTAGGGCCCTGTCAGTGCTCAGTAAATACTAGTGGATGAATGGATGATCAGTCACTGCAACTGCAAAAGTCTGCCACTGTAGGCTTTCATACAGCATGTAAGCTGTTTGCTTTTAAAATGGCCTTTATATAAGCAACCTCCTTTACATTTTTATACTTTAAAAACTGAGTTGATTCTTAACACAGGAAAAGAGGTATACAAAGATACAAGAAAAACAAACATTAGATTTCTTAAAAGAACTATGAGCATATATTTTACACACAAAAATAAACAAATGAAAAAGAATATTTTTAATCAAAAGAATACACATTAAACATTTAAAGGTTGAAAATGACAAAGCAAAAACAATGGAAAGAGCAAGGAACAATGAAAAGTTTCATATACTAGGTATATAAAATAGTACATTCTTAGATATGAATTTAGTTATATGAAAAGACTTTAAAAAACCTACATGCTGATTTTTTTTTTAAGTCTCTTAACTTTTAGAAATGTATGTTTGAGTATTTATTTATTTGATGAACTGGAGTTTGAACTCAGGGCTTCACACTTGCAAAGCAGGTGCTCTATTGCTTGAGCCACACCTCCAATCCACTTTGCTTTGGTTATTTTGGGGATGGGGGTCTCATGAACTATTTGCCTGGATTGGCCTTGAACTGTGGTTCTCCTGATCTCTGCTTCCCAAGTAGCTAGGATTGTTGGAGTGAGCCACTGGTACCCAGCTTGTTGAAGTATTTATCATGAGATAAAATAACTTTCTTTAAAATAATCCAGAGTGGGTAGTAAGACATAGATGAAACATTTGTCATGGTAGATTACTCTGTTGCAGCTGGCTAATGAATACCATGAAAGTGTTCTACTCTTGTGTATTTTCATTTAGAATTTTTAAAATTAAAATTATCCATTAATATAAATAAATAACTCTCTCTTCCCCCCAAGAAAACCTATCCATATACTTAAGCACTCTCTTTTTTTGCGGGGGTTGGGAGGAAGAAGATCTCACTACGTAGTCAGGCTGACCTTGAATTCATGATCCTCCTGCCTCAGCCTCTGAGTGTTGGGTCCTGGCCTATGCCACCACATCTGGCCCCACTTATCAACTTTTCTAGGTTCACAAAATCTTACATTCAGTGCTGGGGATGTAGCTCAGTGGCTTAATGTTTGCTTAGCATGCATGAGGCCCTGGGTTCAATCCCCAGTAACTTACACACCCACACACACACAACTTAGCATCCAGGTTGTTTAATTAGTGTTCTTTATAACAGTAAGAAATTGAAAACATAGTAAGTAAATGTCTAATAATGAAGGGTAGATAAATTATCAAAATCTACATAGCTATTAAAGATGTAGGTAATATCTAATGACAAAAAATGTTCATGATATGTACTTAAATTTTAAGTAGCTGTTTTAAGATAGTATAAGCAGTATGTTTCAACTATTAAAACAAAAATTTAATCCCCAAACACTCATATATAAATGAGTGTTTAAAGTGATTTCCTTTAGAGTTGTAGGATTGTAGATATTTATTTTCTAATTTTTCATAATGACCATATTTTTGTTTTATTGTAAAATGTTCATGATACGTACTTAAATTTTAAGTAGCTGTTTTAAGATAGTATAAGCAGTATGTTTCAATTATTAAAACAAAAATTTAATCCCCACTCATATATAAATATATATAAATATATGAGTGTATAAATATATGAGTGTTTAAAGTGATTTCCTTTAGAGTTGTAGGATTGTAGATATTTATTTTCTAATTTTTCATAATGACCATGTATTTTTGTTTTTTAAAATGTTCATGATATGTACTTAAATTTTAAGTAGCTGTTTTAAGATAGTATAAAAGCAGTATGTTTCAACTATTAAAACAAAAATTTAATCCCCAAACACTCATATATAAATATATGAGTGTTTAAAGTGATTTCCTTTAGAGTTGTAGGACTGTAGATATTTATTTTCTAATTTTTCATAATGACCATATATTTTTGTTTTATTGTATCCATACTGGTGGGACTGGGATTTGAATTCAAGGCTTCCCATTTGCAAAGCAGACACTCTACTGCTTGAGCCATATCTCTAGGCCATTTTGTCTGGTTATTTATTAGCATATTATAGTTGTACAGGGGGCACATTATAACATTTACATAAATGTTTACAATCTAGCTTAACTAGATTCACCCCCCTCCCTCTTTCTCCTTTATTTCTCCTCCCCTGCTTCATTGTATTTTTTCTCAAAATAAATAAATAAATAAATAAATTTAAAGAAACTCACCACCAAAAAGAGAGACAGAGAGACTCTGATGGTTCAATTAAAAAAGATGGATATCAGTTTTTATCCTATTTACTGGGATTACTTACCAGTATTTTTCATAACTGATGTCAGGCTGCTAAGGATGGAACTGATCTTTGCCAGATCCACATTAGCCAGGTTTGGCAAAGCCAAAGCTGGGGAAGGGGACAGAAGAGAAGTATTCACAGGCTTTGGGAGAGGTGGAGTTGCTGTCATGGTCACAGGCACAGAGGCACATGAAGAGGCCTTTGAGACACTTTCTGTTGGCTTTATAGGTGCAGAAGTGGAGATAGCTGATTTCTCCATAGATTTTTCCTTTCTGTCCTCCACTGTTTGTGTTAACAAAGAAAAGAGACAATATTATATCCCTCTGTTTTCTATACTTTGCTTCCAATATGAAACAATACATCCTAGTATTTCCTGACCTGAGGGTAAAGTACTACACTCTGTAGAGAAAACAACCATTGAAACCACTCACATTATGGTTGGGTTTTTGTTTTGTTTTTCAGTACTGGGGTTTGAACTCAGGGCCTTGAGCTTGCTAGGCAGGCACTCTACCACTTGAGCCACACCCACAGCACACTGGTTTTTTAAAAAGTAAAAGCCAGTCTTCGCAATTTATGATCACTATCACCTTCAATATCTGCTAGTAAGGAATTTCTCAATCATTCTGTATCTTTCCTTCCTTTTTTTTTTTTTTTTTTGCAGTACTGGGGCTTGAACTCAGGGCCTACACTTGAGCCACTCCACTATCTTTTTTTAATGAAGGTTTTTTTCAAGACAGAGTCTCACGGAACTATTTGTCTGGGGTGGCTTGGAACTGTGATCCTCCTGATCTCTGCCTCCTGAGTAGCTAGGACTACAGGTGTGAGCCACCAGCGCCCGGTTCTGTATCTTTATTTTTAATGATTATTAATGTATTAAATTATAAAAAAACTTTTCAATTTCTGGAACAGGAAAGAATGAGGCCAGGAAAGGAGATGAGTATGCATAGGGAGAGGGGAGAAAAAGGAGGTGACAAAAAATAAAAAATAAAAAGCTGCTACAGCAGCAAGATCTCCACAAAATAATATAAAATAAAAATATGTACATTCCTGGAAACATTTTATTTGTTTTGTATTTGGGAATGTTACTTGTCATAAGTTGTCCTGTGTTCTTCTTTTCCATTAACTTGAGAACATTCTTGGTGACAGAAACTGTATATACTTTATCATATTTTTCTTTTGGTTTCCCAAAATTGTCCTACTCTATGTGTAATTAGGCACTAATGTGAAACTTCAATGTTTTAACTCTTGGTAACTTTGGAATATACTCCTATTAATACTTTAAAAGGTTATATTGGGTAGTACATTAAATTCAACAAAAGTCAAATTATCTAATAATAATAATTATATAATCCTAGCTACTTGGGAGGCTGAGATTGGGAGGATTTTGGTTCAAGGCCAGCCCAGACAAATAGTTCAAGAGATTCCCACCTCTAATATAACTGGAGCAAAAATGTACTAGACATTTGGCTCAAGCAGTTGAGGGGCTGCTCTGCAAGCTCAAAGTCTTGAGTTCAAACACCAGTCCCATCCAAAAATAAACAAATAAATAAAAATAAAAGGTGGAAGGTCAGAGAAACATTAACCAGTAATTCATGTTAGTTGTGAAACTGCAGTAAACAAACCGCCACCTTGGAATTCTTTTTATGTGGCAGAAGTGTGGTTTGAACTCTGGGCCTGTGCCTCACACTTGCTAGGCAGGTACTGCTCTATGAGTTGAGCCACTCTGCCAGCTGTGTTTTATGTTGGGTATTTTCTATTTTTTGAAGTTTTTTACTTTTTGCCAGTACTGGGTTTTAACTCAGGGCCTCACGTAGGCACTCTACCACTTGAGCCACTCTACTAAGCCCTTGTTGGGTCTTTTTGAGACAGGCTCTTGAATTATTTGCCCGGCTGGCTTTGAACCACAATCCTCTTGATCTCTACCTTCTGAGTAGCTAGGATTACAGATCTGAACCAGTGGCACCTGGCAACTTTGGAATTCTTGGAGTGACAGAGAGTCGGGTGCTGCCAGTGGCTCATATCTGTAATCCTAGTTACTCAGGAGACAGAGATCAGGAGGATTGTGGTTCGAAGCCTGCCCAGGCAAATAGTTCCAAGAGATTCTATCTTGAAAAAACCTATCACAAAAAAGGGCTGGTGGAGTGGCTCAAGGTGTAGTTCGAGCCCCAGTTAAAAAAAAGAAAGAAAGAAACCTAATTCAGGTTAAACTTTCTAATAGTCACATTAAAAAGAAAAGAAAAAACCAAATTTAATCTATTTATCTCAGTATATACTAAGTATTTTCATTTTAGTATGTTATAAGAATAAAAATCATTAGTGAAATATTTTTACCTCTGGGTGGGTACTAAGTTTCTGGAATCCAGGGTGTATTTTATACTTACAGCACATGTTAAGCTGGAAAATGGCATTTCAAATGTGCAATAGTCACATACGTATCAGCTAGAAGCTGCTACAATGAACAGTGCTGATCTTGAACAATGATCCTTAACCCATGTAATGTACCAAATCCTGCTCCAAAGATAATAATGCTACCTTGATATTCTAATTATATGGGCTGAATTATCTGTTTGTGATTGATTAGTTGCTGGGAAAGCAAAATTGGTAAGGAATAAGCTATCTATTAATTACACATGAACATACCAATGATTTTTGGCCCATCATCTTCCACATCTGATAGTTCCATGTCTTCTACATCACGATTATCTGTCACAGGTTCAGGTGTGGCAGATTTTTCACTCTCCATGATTGGTGACTGTGATTCTTCACCTCCCATTCCCTGAAACGGAGACTCAGAACCGGTTGGGGAGGGAGCATCCATACTTGGAGAAGGAACTGGTGATTCTTCAGGATCAGGAAGGGTTGACTTCAACTGATCCAACTTCTTCTTTAAATTGTTTACTCGATTAGCAAAGGTTTTATATGCCTAAAAGAAAAAGGAGTTTATTTCTCTGAGAAAAGGATCTAGCAGGTACCATTGTAACTCTGATCAGATTGTCATTATCATTAACATCATCACTGGCACAAAATAAGAAAATATTATCATCTGTCAAACACAGAGTAGTTTCTAACCTCTACTCTTTGTACTCCCTAAGTGATTATTATGTCTACACAGTTGCCTGGGTTAGAAATCTAAAGGTTATTTGTAATTCAGCCTCCCTTGTCCTTGCCTATCCATCCAAGCAACCAATATTTATTAAGAGTGTCAAATATGTTGGTCATTCTTCTAGGAAGTGGAGATGCAGTAATTTTTTTTGATAAAAATTTGAAAATAAATTTGGACAACTTGGAAGTTCAAATCCAATTTTTTTGTTGTTGTTGTTTTGTTTTTTGGTGGTACTAGGGTTTGAACTCAGGGACTCATGCTTACTAGGCAGGTACCTGAACCACTCCACCAGCTCTTTTTTGAGTGGGGTATTTTGGAGATATGGTCTTACGGACTATTTGCCTAGGCTGGCTTCAAACTTTGACCTTTTGATCTCTGCCTCCTGAGTAGTTAGGATTATAGGTTTGAGCTACTGGCCCCGGCCTATTGATTTTTTTTTTTAAATAAACTTTATCTTAGAACAGTTTCAGGTGCCCAGAATTATTGCAAAGATAGTAGAGTTCCTATATTCCCAATACCCACTTTCCCCTATTATTAGCATTTCACATTAATACAGTCAATTTCTCACATTAATATTGATAATTACTAACTAAAGTCTATACTTTATTCAGATTTCCTCAGTTTTTACCTAATATGTGTTTTTTTGTTTGTTTGTTTGTTTTGACAGATCTAGAGTTTAAACTCAGGGCCCTGAACCTGCCAGGCAAATGTGCTACCTTTTCTAATCCAGGATTCCATTCAAGCTACCACAGTACAGTTAGCGCTCATATTTCCTTAGGCTCCTTTCGTTTGTAAAAGTTCATTTTTGATGACCTTGACAATTTTGAAGAGTACTGTGTATTTCATAGACTGCTGAATGAGATTTGTCTAATTTTTTTCCTGTCCTTTTTTTTTTTTTGGGTGATACTGTGTCTGTTGTTTTCCTCATGATTAAGTGGGGAGTTATGGGTAAAGAGCTATTGTTATCACATCAAATTAAAGGTATATATACAATGACCTACTACTGTTGATGCTAATTTCAGTATCAATATTTACTATCTCCCATGGATCTCCTGATTATCTTAACTGCTAATGTCTTTACCTCCAGGCCACTCTGCTCTTGTTCTCTTGGAGATGGGGAAAGGGGGTGACGGGGGGGTCTCACAAACTATTTGCCTGGGGTGGCCTTGAACCATGATCCTTCTGATCTCAGCCTCCCAACTAACTAGGATTACAGGTGTAAGCCACCAGTGTCTGACTTAACTGCTAATGTTTTAAAGCTGTGCTTTTTTTTTTTTTTTTTTGGAGACAAGGTCTTGCTACATAGCTCAGACTGGCTTAAAACTTGCAATTCTCTGGCCTCAGCCTTCTGAGTGCTGAGATTACAGGTGTGTACCACCACACCTGGCTCTATTTTAGAATACTGAACTATTAGATTGTGATACTATTTTGGTTGATCATTCAAGAAGCATTACTTTAAAAATACTGGGCTGGCAGAGTGGCTCAAGTGGTAGAGTGGCTGTCTGGCAAGCATGAAGTCCTGAGTTCAAACTCCAGTACCAGCAAAAAAAAAAATAATAAACTGTAAGCTAGTTTTTGTTTCTGAATATAAGTAGCTTATAATGGATCAATGCTCCTATCAAAAGCAAATAGAGGGCTGAGGGCATGGCTGAAGTGGTAGAGTACCTGTCTAGCAAGTGCCAACGCCCTGAGTTCCAACCCCAGTACCAAAAATCAAAACCAAACAAACAAGCAACAAGAACAAATAGAAATGCTAGTGGTATAGAGTAGTGGTAGAACATTTGCCTAGCATATGCAAGGCCCTGTGTCCTAAACCCCACCTCACACATACAGCCAGATATGCATCTAGAGGCTGTACAGTCTTTCATATATAATGTTCAGAATTCAACAAAATACTAGCAGGCATGCTGATAAGTCCACATGACTAAAAAGGAAAAAATAAAAATATGAAACACATTCATGACAGGTGAAGTCTATATTGGAATTATCTGAGAAAAACCAAATACCTATGATTAATATGTTCATAGAGAAAAACCTCCCCCTTTCTTTCTTAAATAATTTGATCTAAAACCTATTAGTTGGAGCTGAAAAGAAAGTCTGCATGTTGAAGAAGCATTGCAAGAGATGTCAGAGCCTAAAGGTACAGAAAAGGGTTGGTGGTGTAGCTCAAGTGGTAGAGTGCCTGCCTAGCAAGTGTGAGTTCAAACCCCAGTACTGCTCCCTCTCCAAAAACATATATAAAGATACAGAGAAAGCCCAAACAGGAGGCAGGGAAGGGATGGAAGTGCAGGAGACTGCCTATACACTAAGGGACTGATCACTAAGTAAAACATATTTAACACGGCATAAAAGTATTGTTTGCACTGTTAGAAATAACAATTAGAAATGTGAATAAGGGAGAAAACTAGAAAAGAATCTTGTGATGCTGGATTGCAATCAGAGATAAGAGAGTGACCTCATAGTTTTCTACAGACACACACATAGATGTCAATGTGCATGTATAGAGGTTAAATATGTATATATAGACATGTATTTCCTAGTTTTGTACATGATAGGATCTGGCAGCAGTGACATCACAATGATACTTAGATCTTGGTTCCAGAATACGATTTTTCAATAAAATGCACCATATTATCTTGGAGAAATGACTGATTCCAGGGTTGAGGCAGAGAAAGTACAAGATAAGCCTGTACCATGTTCCAAAAGTAAAGAAGTGCTAAAAAATGATGTGGGTCAGGAAGGCAGATGTAGTGGTACATGCCTGTAATCCTAGCCCCTCGGGAGGCTAAGGCAGGAGGCCTGGGAGTTTGAGGATGGCCTGGGCTACACAGTGAGACCCTTTCTCAAAAAAAACAAAAGACAAAAAAGACGGGGACTGGTTAAAAGAACACAGAAAGAAGCTTGAAAGGAGTGTCCACTCTGAAATTTCTGTCAATTTGAGGATCAAAGTAAATACTGGTAGCAATGAATTAAAACAGCAGAACTTGCTAGGAGAGGTGGTGCAAGCCTGTAATCCCAGATACTTGGAAAGCAGAGGCAGAGGCAGAAGGATGGAGAATTTGAAGCCAGCCTGGGTAAATGCAACAATGAAATCCTGTCTCAAAAACAAAAGCTCAAGTGGTCTAGGACCATGGCTCAAGTAGTAGAGCACTTGCCTAGCATGCGCAAGGCTCAGAGTTTAACCCTTAGAATCCTTACAAGCAAACAAAAAAATAACTCCAAGAGTCCTTATTGATAGAATATAGTAAACAGAATCTACCCTTCCCCCTAAACATTAATTACTTAGTTTCCTCAGTTGTAGTAGTAACGTAATATAAAATGGGCAGTTTAAGACAATAAAAAATTGTCTCATAATCCTGGAGGCTAGAAGTTCAAAAGTCAAGATGCCAGACAGTAGAGCTATGCTCCCTCTGAAACTGGACAGAATCCTTTCTTGCCTTTCCCTGCTTTTAGGTGGTGGCTACAATACTTGGTGGTCCTTGACTTATAGATGCATCACTCTATTATCTGCCTCAATGTTATAAGATATTCTCCCTTTGTCCAATTTCCCTCCTCTTAAAATTAAAGAACCAGTTATAATGATTATCTCTCTCTCTCTCTCTTTACCTACCTACCTACCTACCTACCTATTTACATATCACTGGGGTCTATGTTGCCTAAGGTAGACTAGAACTCCTTTCCTCAAGCAATCCTAGCTGTTTCGACAGGTGTACACAAGTGCCTGGCACAATTTCACCTTAACTGCAAAGATCCTATTTCTGAATAAAATCATATTCACATTATCTCTTTTGGGAGACATAATTCAACTGATAGCAAGTACTTTAGAGTGGACAACCTGGAAGATGCTACATTAATCAAGATATCAAAGGGAATATTGTAGGGAGTGAGACATCAAACTTACGGGTCAACCGACACGATGAAGAAAGAACACAGAATCAATTGGGCACTGGTGGCTCACGCCTATAATCCTAGTTAAGTGGGAGGCTGAGATTAGGAGGATCATGGTTCAAGGCCAGTCTGGGCAAATAGTTCGTTGAGATCCCCTGTCTTCAAAATAACCAGACCAAAATGGACTGGAGGTGTGGCTCAAGTGGTAGAGTGTGCGCCTGAGTTCAAATCCCAGTCCCACCAACCCAACCCTGCCCCCCCCCAAAAAAACAAAAACAAAACAGAAAAGAGCTGAGGATGTAGTGGAATGGTAGATCAACTGCTTAGCATATGCAAGGTCCCCGATTCAATCCTCAGTTACAAAAAGAAAAGATAAAAGTTTTCATTTTTACTCTAATTGGAGTAAAAATTGGAGGTATATATACATGTACCAAAATATTACATGGTACCCATAAACATGTATGATTTTTATAGTGTCAGTTAAAACAAATCAGCACAAGGAAAAAAAAGACAATATTTGAGATAACAGAGGAGAATTTCTGAAAATTCATGAGAAACATTAAGCCACTTGATATGATTGAATTTTGTTCTCTCTATCCTCCCCACCTCAAATTCATTTATTCAAGAGTAGTCACCCTAGAATTTGACCTTATCTGGAGATAAGACTTTTATAGAGATAAGTGAATTATAAAGTTAAATAAGGTCATTAGGATTTTTTTCCTTTTTTTTTTTTTTTTTTTTGTAGTACTCAGGGCCTTGTGCTACCACTTGAGCCACACCTCCAAGCCCTAGAATGGGCTCTTAATCCAATATGATTAGTATTCTTTTAAATGGGGAAGTCGGGACACAGATACACACACAGAGGGAAGATGATGGGAAGAGACACAGGGAGAAGACAGCCATCTACATGGCAAAGAGAAAGGCTTAGGACAAATTTTTTCCTTGATGTCCTTTAGAAAGAAGCTACCCATCCTAAGAATATGTTGATTTTGGACTTTTATCTTCTAGACAATGAGACAATAAATTAATGCTATTCAAGCCATCCAGTCTGAGAAACTTTATTATAGCAGCCCTAGCAAACTAATACACCATTAATTCAAAAAGTTCTGTACATCCCAAGCCAAGTGAATAGAAAGATAACACTACTTAGGCTCATCACTACATAACTACTAAAAACCAAAGACAAAGAAAAAATATTAACAGAAGCCAGGGGACAAAAAACTTTATATTCAAAATAAACAACAATAAGACCAATGTCAGATTTCTCACTGAAATGGGACACCCACAAGACATCAGAATAGTATCTTTGAAGTGTTAAAATGACTGCTAATCTAGAATTCCACAAAAGGTGGAAAAAGATGTTTCAAGGAAATGATTTTATTTATGGGCTCAAGGCATCCTCCTATATCAGGCTCACAAGTGCTAAGACTACAGGTATGCACTACCACACTTGGCCCTGTTTTGGATAGTTCTCTAAGTCTCATACTAAGACTACTTTTTGCTGCAATACTGAATTGAGACCTCTACCTTCCAGACTCGTATTTTCTTACCTTGTTTTTCTCCAGTTTTACTAGAGCATTCTCACAAAATTTCCAAAAAGGAAAGAAAAGCTTGTAACAGATGAATTTTCAATGTCCTTATGTCTAAAAAGGTCATAGATCACTGCTTTTCAAGTTACTGGGGACCAGAGCCTTGCAACATGCTAGGCAATACTACATTTTCAGCCCGTTGTTTTTTCTTGTTATTTTTAACCTAATCAGATAATCTTTTGACCTTTTTTTTTTTTTTTTTTTTGGTGGTAGAACTGGGGTTTGAACTTAGGCAGGTACTCTACCACTTGAACCACCCCTCCAGTCCATTTTGCTCTGGTATGGGATCTTGCAAACTATTTGCCCAGGCTGGCCTCGAACTGTAACCCTCTTGATCTCAATCCCCCAAGTAACTAGAATTACAGGGGTGAGCCACTAGCACCTGGCAATCTTAGACTTGTAATTAAAATGTTTAGTTCACTTATTGATATGCTTGGGTTTAAGTCTACTATTACAGGTGTATAGCTATAATCCTAGCACTTGGGAGGCTGAGGCAGGAGATGTTGCGTTAAGAGTCCAGCCTGGGCGACATAGCAAGTTCCAGGCAAGCTTGAACTATATAATGAGACTTTGTCTCAAAAAAAAAAAAAGAAAAAGAAAATTAGGGACTTGGGGTGGTGTGTGGTTCAATGGTAGAGTAGAATGTGTGCTTATTAGCATGTGCAAGGCCTTGGGTTCAATCCAAAGTACTACAACCATGCCCATACACTCTCCCAAACACACAAAGTGCAACTGACTGAAGTTGGGAAACTGAAGCCAGAAGAACTAATGAGAAAAGGAAAAGGATGTCAATATCCAAAGTTTATAAACTAGAGAGAGTTAATGATCAAAATTAGTAAATACAGTGCTTCAACTCACAAAGGCAATCATCAGGTTTTTTTTTTTTTTTGAGATAGGGAAAGTCTCATTATGTAGCCTAGGCTTTGAACTCAAAGTCTTCTTGCCTCAGGCTCCTGAGTTCTGGGTGGGATTACAGGTATGCACATCATACCTGGCTAATAAACAGATTTAATCATTTTTATCACAATACTGAGAGAAAAAAGAAGAGTATGAGCCAAATCCATATTTGTCATAAAAACAAATTAATAGATATTTCTAAAATAGTATAAATTAAGAAAGAGCAACACAGGCAAATTATTTACAAATGTAGATGCATCCAGAGGAGCTAACACAGAAACCTTAAAGCAACAGAGGTTATCATGAGAAGGGGATCAGTAACCAGGATAAAGATCAGTTAGAAATGAATCAACATGGGTCATAACACATGTACATGAAAGCAATGCTAGGAATATTTCTGTATAGCTATCCTCAACTCAACTAGCAAAAACGCTTTGTCTTCCTTATTAGGCTTGTCTTTTTTCTTCAACAAAACTAGTGATAAAGGCAGAACAGGATCTGCCTGGAACTGAGCAGGGAAGGGGAGGAGAGGGTGGGGGAGGGAGGTGGGGGGGAGGAATGACCCAAACAATGTATGCACATGTGAACAAAAGAATAAATAAATAAATAAATAAATAAATAAATAAATAAATAAATAAAAGCACATGACACAAGAGGCCTTATGAAGAAAAAAAAAAGTTAGCTAATACTGTCTTTTATGTTTGCCTACATATTTATCCTTATCCAGTGTTATTTCTTCATGCATGTTCAAGTTACTGTCTAGTGTCCTTTCATTTCAGTCAAGGATTTCTTATACGACAGATCTTCTAACAATAAATTCCTAAAGTTCTTTAACAAAAAAAAAAAAAAATTAAATTGCTTGAAGTGGGAACTGTGGGACTTAAAATACCATATACTTTTATGACTACACAGAGTGACTGAAATTTAAGTTTTTTTGAGAGTCATTAAACAAATGACCATTTATCACCTTTCTCCTTTCAGTGGAGGAAGAAGGTCCTTTTTTTTTTTTTTTTTTTTAAAGAAAGTCTTTTTTTGTTGTTTTTAATATAGAAGCATCCAGTCATCAGCTTATTTTTATTTATTTATTTATTTATTTTTGTGGCAGCACTGGGGTTTGAACTCAGGGCCTCACACATGGCTAAGCAGGTGCTCTTACCGCTTGAGCCACACTGCTAGCCAGGAAGAAGGTCCTTAATTCAGTTAATACTCATACAATTTAGTAACAAGATGTTTCCACCTGTTTTGTTTATGAGATGGGGGTCTCACTATGTTGTTCAGGCTTGTCTCAACCTTTCCATTCAGTTTACTGCTAAAAAACAAACAGGGCTAGTGGAGTGGCTCAGATGGGAGAGTGCCTGCCTAGCAAGCATGAGGTTGGTGGCAATGCCACCAATAAACAAATAAAGTACATATACTTATGCTCAATTTTATATCCTGTAATAGTAACTTGACATAGTCCTTGAAATAGCAAGGTCTTACGTTTTAGTACAGCAAGATGGTTTTGATATATGTAAGCTTTAGCATCTGAAGGACACAGGTTTTAATCTAGCCTGCCACTTTTTTTTTTTTAGCAAGGTGTATGTGTGTGCATGCTGGGGTTTGAACTCAGGGCCTCAAGGTTGCTAGACAGGCCCTCTACTATTTAAGCCATGCATCTGCTCTTAGTTGCTGTATACTGTGTACAAGCTCACTAACTCTCTTCAGAAGTAATAACTTTGGGCTGGGATGAAGCTCAGTGGTAGAGTGCTTTGAAGGCCCTGGGTTCCATCCGAGCACCAAAAAAGAAAAGACAAAAAAACAAAACAAAACAAAAAAGACTTGTATCTTCATCTGTGAAATGGAGATAATAATGCTTATCCTCATAAAGCTAGTTAACCTATATAGTCTCTGACACCTAGTAAGCATTCAGTAGAAGATAAATGTAATTACTTACATTAGCCACCACTTTTACTTCTTTGTACTGTGCTTCATAGAAAATTCCAGCATTTTCCAGTGCTTCTGTTAGTGAGGGCCCATTTTTCACCTGCTTATCCAAACCATTTACAAATTCCTCCAGCTTAGAGCTTGCTTCTTCGAATTCTTTGGAGAACTTCTTCCCTCCTGTTTTATCTAAAATAACAGAGAAAATATTTATTTCAAGATAAAAAAAGAACAAGTACAAAATTTACTCTTTTGAGGGAATCCCCTCTGTGAATCTGTTTTTTATTGTTTGTGAAACCTGTTCTTTTCTTGCTGCCTTAATGAATAATTTTTCATTTTTTTAAAAACAGGGTGTGCCTGTGTAGCCCAGGTTGGCCTCAAACTTGCAATCTCCCTGCCTTAATTTCCCAAGTGTTGGGATTATAAATGTGTCATGAAACCTGGCTCATCGTGTATAGTATTTTTAATCTCATACTTTTTGTTTCTTTTCTAGTCTCATACTTTTATCTTAAAGAAGCTTCTCTAAATCACAAAGTCACAAAATAGATTAATTAATTCTACACAAAGAGATTCATGTGAATCTAAGGTAAAGCAATAGAGAAGTTACTTGTAATTAAGAAAGTTTAATTAAAATACTTGGTTGGTTACTTCTTTTCTTCACAGATCTTCTTACGTAAGAATAACAGAATAAGGCTCAATTCTGTTCACTTTTATTGTAATTTCTACATTACAGAAGATGATGTGATATACTTCTTAGATGAGAAAACTAAGGCTCAGAAAAATAAAGTTAAAAATACTCTTCATTTGAAAAAGTTCCTTAATTTATATACACTTCTTTCCTATTGACTGCTAGAATGTGGTTTTGGATATGGGCATAAATTTTGGCTTTGCCTTTTATCAGTTATGTATCTTGAGCAAGCTACTCTCGCCTTATAAAGCCTCTGATTTCTCATGGGTAAGACAGAATTTCATTTATTTATTTATTTATTTTTGGGGTACTCGAGTTTGAATTCAGGGCCTCATGCTTACTGGGCAGGTGCTCTACCACTTGAGCCACTCTCCCAGCCCAAGACAGAACATTTTAGTGCTTCTTGGTTGTTATGAGGATTAAATCAGACAACATATATCCAATTGAAAGTATGGTGTTTGCCGGCACAGTGGCTTATGCCTATAATCCTAGCTACTAGGGAGAAGACCAGAAGGATTGTGAGTTTGAAGCCAGATGAAGTAAAAAGTTCACAAGACCCCATCTCAACCAATATTTGGGTGTAGTGGCATATGCCTGTTATCCCAATTCTTGGGAAGCATAAATAGGCAGACCGTAGTCCAGGCCAGCCTGGGTAAAAACGCAAGACCTATCCCAAAAATAACTAAGGCAAAAAGGACTGGGGACGTGGCTCAAATAGTAGAAGGCTTGTCTAGCAAGCTGAGTTCCTTAGTTCAAACCCCAGTAAAAAAGAGTAATATCTGCTTTCATGAGACTCAGATTTTAATAAATTACTAGGTAGGATTATATACAATTTCTAATGTAAGGAAAAGATAACTAACTAGATTTATAAGACATTATGGTGCCCTTATTAAAGAGCATACCCAAACAAATTAGCCACATGTAAAACACAACCCTTTATCTATAACTCAATACACCAAGAAAGTGAGAAAGGTAAAAATTTACTTATGAAATTTATAAGAATGAAATTACTGTCTAGGGAACCAAAGGTACCACAACTGATTCTATAACCTAACCTAAAGTTGTCGTTCTCTCTCTCTCTCTTTTTTTTTTTTTTTGTTTTTGGTGGTGCTAGGGATCACACCCAGGGCCTTGCTTAACATTCTTTTTATGGGGTAAACTGATCTGACTACCTGAAAAGTCACATTTGGAAACAAAAATCTGAAGTATTTTATTAAAAAGTATTTAAATCTTACCTTTTAAGCACTTTAGAGTTTCTGTGCTGCATACATCTACTCTCATAGTTGACAACTGTTTCTCCTTCAATTCTATCTGATCTTCTGAGCGCTTGTATAGCAATAGCTCTTCAATGAGGGCCTGAGACTGAACACAGACCAGAATCATATTTCATTTATATGATCATTCAGTTATTTTTCTTCTACCTCTCTCTCAATAATAGAAAAAAAACCTAAAGCCTAATAAAATCCTCAGAGAAAAAAACCACTCACTTTTCCTCAGTCAGGAATACATGATCAATTCTTATGTACAAACTGTATCTCCTCAGTTATAAACGTTAATAGATTCTTTCCTTTAATTATTCAAAGCTAATTTATGGATACAGGATTAAGACTGAAAGAAAGGCCCACTAACATCCTCTTTGAATTTTAATTAGATAAACAGTCTTCTGTTACCCTAAGAAAATTCAACACAGAACTCAGCTAGTAATAGATATTTTGGAAAGTTATTTTTCCCATTGGGGAAATAGATAAAACTAACCAAGGCTGGTGGAGTAGCTCAAGTGGTAGAGCGCCTGCCAAGCAAGCATGAGGCCCTGAGCTCAAACCCCAGTGCTGCCAAGAAAAAAGAAAACTTCAACCAATCTAATTTCAATCTGGATTCCTTTAGAACAATTCAAGCATGTTTAGAAGATAACAGATGTACAACTGAGTAAAAATAAATCTTACTGGACAATATAGAAAGCTGTAACTCAAAAGGGGTGAACAACGCTTTGCTATAGTTAACATATTTTGTAACTTACTCGAAATTCAGCAACTATTTTAGACTTGAGAGCAGCTTTTGGATTCATGGATGCTGTTGGAATTAAACAAAACATCATTAAGTATATACATAAAGAACTGATTAAGTCCAGGAAAAATTTCAGATCTATGATTAAGGGTAGTATTCTTCAACTATACAGCAAACATGCACATTTAAATCGTAACACAATTCCTAGAATAAATAACGGACTATGAAATCTAAACACTCCTAAGCACGGTCAATAGAAAATACACTATTTAGACAGTCTACCCAACTTACCTCCAACAGAATGTTAGAAGTCCTAGAATTATTGATTTGGAGACACTGACATACATGAAATGCCTTCATTTCCTAATCTCACTGAGTGTAAAATCTCAGTATCTCTAAGAGTGTTCAGGAACAGGACATTCCATTAATCTCAGCACTGGCTGAAGAAAATGACTTAGAAATATCAACTCTATTCCCACATACTTAGCTTTGGATTTCTTTTTCTGCTGACTCATAGCAAAAAAAAAAAAGCAAGGGAAGTTCTAAGTACATTACCACTGTGGTTGAATTTTGGCTGAAATGATGACTTGCTCCTAAGCATGCAATTTATGACCAAAAGGATGTCACAGAACTCCCTTAATCATGATGAACATTATATGCTTGATGAAGCAAAACCATTCGACTGTTTTGTTCCCCCTCCCAATGTTCACTGTCTTTTACCTTGTTCCCTCCACACCTTCAAGTCTCTCAATATTCCTCACTTTTCCCAGAGCATCCTATCACATGCAATATTCCACTCCCTTGATCTCATGCTGTGCAAATATGAAATGCATTAACAGCAGCTCTATCTAGTTAGAGAATGAGCTTCTTGACAGGATTTGAGGCCCCTATCTAATTTGGTGGAGTGTATCCCCAAATCTGAAGGATTTCCTGGCTCCCAGAGAAATGCTTCTTAATCCCTAGTCTCCTCTTTAGTTCTGTTGCTTAATGCCACCTGTCTCTAACTTCATATATCTTTGAGCCTGAGAATTACCCTGGGCACTATCAAGTATTTTTTCTTCTTTCAGTTCCCCACCTACTCTTCAATCTTCACTCAATTAAACCCCTTTTCTGGATTTCCTTTAATAGTGTTTTTTAAAGAAGTAACTTCATGATGGCTTGTTAAGTGTAAGTCACTAGGAGCCTCCTAGGACTGGAAAACACAGGCTTGCCCATGGTTTATGCCAGGTACGATGTCATATGGTCTACATTTTCTTCTGCTCCAAAAAGAGGAGGTAATTTTATATTAGTTGAGATTTTGTTCCTTACTTTGTGATTTCTTCCACTGCTTATTCGGTTGTTTGTTCAGATTTTCTTTCAGCTGCTTCTGAGTTTTGAAAGTGGTACCTGGAAAACATTGCAGTTTTTGCAATCTAGCATTATGGGAAGCTGTTCTGACTCTCCACTTCAGTTGCCAAAGTTGTAGCATGAAAAAAGGCAATCTGAGACTGTGTAGTTTCTTTCTTCCCTTTTCTTTTGTTTTTATTAAAAAAAAAAAAAAAAAAAAAAGGAACACCCACCAGATCTAAGAAGCTGTCAAATAAGCATAATTTCTATAACCACTGGAATTATCAATTCTGAAAAGAATAGGGCAGGAGGCTAGTTAACAGATTCAAGTAAAGAATTTAACAGCTTCTTAGAAGATGCTATTTTAAAATAAATTTCTAGTCAAATGATGGTAAAGGTAGTAGGTTATCACAAACTTCTATCCAGTGATTTAATTGTAGGTATCAAATATATAAGAACGAAATTACTTAAAAAAAAAAAAACCAAAAACCCAGGTATTCAACTTATTGCAAACCTAAATCAAATGAAGTCTGAAGGTTTCCAGTATGTTTTTATATAAATAGCTTAGCTTGGTGAGATCTAAAACTCTGCCCCAAATTTTTCCAACAGTAAGAGGACAGAGCAGTATTTATTAAACAGAATTAATGAGCAGTTTGAAATACTCAACCAAAGCAAATGCAGGAAAACAATTAGGTGGCTATCATCACTTAATTAATATGCTTGACATTTATAATCTATAAAAATAAAATCCACCCTTACTCCAAAACCAATTTTACTTATATTTATAATTCAAATAGATGTAGATTTTAAAATTTTAAGTATTTAAATTTAAACAAACAGGGTCAGATTTAAGGTTTTTTTCATTATTACATAATAGGACCACACCTATGACATATATATATATATATATATATATATATACACACACACACATATATATATAAAATTATAAAAATTGACTCAAACTTTTTTTTTAGGAGGAAAAAGACACTTACTTAGAGCTTCTCTCAGTGCCATAATCATTTCTTCTGGGTAAACATTTCTATCTTCCCAAATTTTAAAGATTCGTTCTATAGACTTAGAGACAGACGGATCCCTGAAGAAAAAGAAAAAGAAAGACTATCAAAATAATGATTTATATCCCATCTTGTATACCATGTATCAGAATTTCCTTCTTTTTTTTGGGCTGGTGGCATTGCTCAAGTGGTAATATACCTGGCTAAAATTTCATTTTTAAGGCTGAGTAAAATTCCATCATATTTATATACTACATTTTGTTTGTCTATCTATCCACTGACAGACACTTGGGTTGGGCTGCTTTCTCTCTTTTGGCTACTGTGAATAATGCAGCTATGAATATGTGCATACTAATAACTGAGTTCTTGCCTTCATTTTTTTCCTCTTCTCTCCTTTTCCTTTCCTTCCCCCCCTCCCCTTCTTCTCTCTCTTTCTCCTCCTTCCTCCTGCCCCTCCCCTCTCCCCTTTATGAGACATGGTCATGCTAGAAAGCCCAGGCTGGTCTCAAACTCTTGATTCTCCTGTCTTCATCTCCTGAGTGCTAAGATTATAGGACTCAGCCACCAGACCCAGCTATGTTCAACTTTTTTCTTTTTGGCAGCACTATGGTTTGAACTTAGGGCCTCACACTTGCTAGGCAGACAGCTCTACCACTTGAGTCTACTCTATCACTTCTTTTTTGTGTTGGGTATTTTCGAGATAAGGTCATTCAAACTATTTGCCTGGACTGGCCTCAAACCATGATCCTCCTGATCTCTGCCTCCCGAATAGCTAGGATTATAGATGTGAGCCACTGGCACCCAGCCATATCACTTATTTTATCCCCGATACCATCATATTTATATAATGATAATCTTTGTCTCTATATAGTTGGTTTGAGAAGAAGATAACAAAATGTGAAGTAAAAAAGGTAACAAAGATGGAAAAGAATTTGCTAAAGCATAAAGCAATATAAAATATATTTAATGAGTGATTAGAGTAGTGATTTGTAACATTAATTTGTTAGTAGTAATAACAGACATAATCTTCCTTCCCCCTTTCTTATCATAGCAGCAGCTAACATTTAAGTGTTGATTATATGCCAGTCACAGTTCTAAGCCCTTCATGTTTATTATTAACTTATTTATACTCATACTCTCTGGGGCAGTACTATTGTCGGTTCTAATATACAGATAAAAAATTTAGGCTAATTTAATTTGCCTAAAGTTATAGAGCTGGGAGATTGCAGTGTTAAGATAGAACTCCATGCACTCTAGTTCAGATCAGGTAGTTTTAAACCATTACACTTCTGGACAACTGTATGTATGTAGTCTAAAGTGAATGAAATAGATAACAGAAACTGGAGAACTAGTTAGAAGGCTGTTACAACAATATATATTAAAAAAGAGCGGTAATATGAAATTAAAAGGCAGAGAAAAAATGAGTAGGAGACATTAACGAATCAGCTTTTGATAAGCTACTAAGAAATTAATAAATAATAATAATTAAAGATTATTAAGGAGACGTCATAAGATAAAAAACTACAAATTAAGATTCAGGAATGCTCTCTGACAGAACAAAAATAGAGGACTAAAAGTAGAAAAAAATCTGTTTTCTACCATTATACTACTAATATAAGTTAATTTTTAAAAAATGAATTTAAAAAAATGAAAAGTAGGAAGAAAAATCTGGCTTCTGGTGGGGCATAGTGGTGCTTGCCTACAATCCCAGCACTCAGGAGGTGGGAAGGCAGGATGACTGCAAGTTTGAGGCCAGCCTAGTCTACACAGTGAGACCCTGTCTCAAAAAACTGAGCTGGAAATGTAGTTCAGTGATAGAGCACTTGCCTACCACACATAACACACTAGATTCAACGTCTAGTACCCCCCCCACATACACACACTATCTCAGTTCTAGTCTCAGCTCTTTTGTTAAACTATCCTTTCACTTTGGGAAATTTCTTAACTGCCCTAGGCTTCAATTTTCTCATTTTGTAAAAAGGAATTTCAATTTTCTCATTTTGTAAAAAGAAATTATAAAATCTAATCTACTTGCTGGGCGCCAGTGGCTCATGCCTGTAGTCCTAGCTTTTCAGGAGGCAGAGTTCAGAAGGATCACAGTTTGAAGCCAGCCTGGGCAAAATAAAAAAGAGAGACCCTATCTCAAAGACACCCAACACAAAAAAAAAAAAGGCTGTCAGGGGGTGGGGATATAGACCAGTGGCTGAATATCTCCTTAGCATGCATGAAGCTCTGGGTCCAGCCCCACTACTACAAAAAAACAAAACAAAAACAATCATAGCAGGGTTAGAATCACCCTCATCACCTTTTGGACTGGAGGTGTGGCTCAAACAGTAGAGCACCTGTTTTACAAGTGCAAAGTCCTGAGTTCAAACCCCAGTGCCAACAAAAACACAAAAATTCTATGTCTGCTTTGGGGTACAGAAGTGGCTCTAGTAGTAGAATGCGTGCCTAGCAAGAATGAGGCCCTGAGTTCAAACTCCAGTACTGCCCAAAAAAAGAAAAAAGAAAAACAAATCAAATCCACTTATTTTTGCAAAGTTGGCTACTATGAGTTTCAAAAACACATAACTATTTTTCACTTTTTTGGGGAAGGGTGCAGAACTGGGGTTTGGACTCAGGACTTCATGCTTGCAAATCAGGAGTCCTACTGCTGGAGTCACACTTCTAATCTGTTTTGCTCTGGTTATTTTAGAGATGGGATTTTTTTTTAAATTTGTTTATTCATATGTGCAATACATTGTTTGAGCCATTCCTCCCCCCTTCCCCCCATCCCCTCACACCCTAGAGATGGGATCTTGCAAAGTATATGCCTGGACTGGCCTCAAACCTCCATCCTCCCAATCTCAGCCTCTCAAATTGCTAGGACTATAGGCATAAGCCATTGATGCACAATGCAATTTTCAATTTATAACATATCCTCATATACATTGTAGGAGTAGGACTTTATACAAATATAGGTATTATTCCTTTAGACATTCTGTTCTGAATAGTAAGTACCATATAACCTTTAAGTAGGAATTCCCAGAAAGTAAGTGAAGATATGGTTAAAAGTCTAGATACAAGCTGGGTACTGATGCCTCACGCCTGTAATCCTAGCTTCTTTAAAGGCTGAGATCAGGAGGAATGTAATTTGAGGCCAGCCCAGGAAAACAGTTTGTGAGACCCCCATATCCAAAATATCCAGACCAAAACAGACTGTGAGGTGTGGCTCAAGTGGTAGAGCACTTGCTTTGCCAGTGTGAAGTCTTGAATTCAAACCTAAGTCCCACCAAAAAAACAAAAAACAAAAAAAACCCAAAACCAAAACAAAACAAAACAAAAAACCCTAGATACAGGTATGGTACAGGGGTAAGTTGAATTCATGAGTCAGTTTCTGCAAAGAAAGAATATATAGAAAGAAAGTAGGGTCTCATAGTTTATATAAGAACATTGCCAAACTTCAAATTTCTAAATTTTTAAGACTTTTTTCACTAGCTAATGATTTGCCCAGATGTCATGAGAAATCCTTCTTATGATGGGATGATTTCATAGTACCAAGCCATTATTTCCCCCAAATCTTTCACACCTTTTCCCAATAAAGGTCATGCATGTAATTCTCTATATTCCTTTAGAGTCTGTAAAATAAAAATATATTTTAAGAAGTGATTGCGGTAATGATTTGGTAATAATCCTCCTTAGATAACTAACATAAAAATTCATTTATCAGTTTTACTAAAGATGAATTTTTTCTGGGGGGAGTGGTACTGAAGTTTGAACTCAGGGCCGCACACTTGCTAAAACGGTACTCTACCACTTGAGCTACTTCTCCAGCCCTAAAAGATCAAATATTAAAAGCACAAATGACTGCCTTTTATGAAAACCTAAGATAATAACAGGATTTGAAAAGGCTCCACCTACATGAAAGATACACCCAGTCTTATATAGTCCTAAAAGAATATAAACAAACCAGTTTTTAAAAATTTGTTTTGGTGTAGCTGGGTGCCAGTGGCTCACATCTGTAATCCTAGCTACTCAGGAGGCAGAGATCAGGAGGATTGTGGTTCAAAGCCAGCTTGGGCAAATAGTTCGAGAAAGCCTATCTCAAAAAAACCATCATAAAAAAGCTGGTGGAGGAGCTCAAGGCGTGGGTCCTGAGTTCAAATTCCAGTACTGCAAAAAAAAAATTTTTTTTGGTGGCACTGGGACTTGAACTCAGGGCTTCGTGCTTGCAAAGGAGGTGCTCTTCCACTTGAGCCACACCTCTAGTCCTCTAGTTAGTTTTTTTTGTTGTTGTTTTGTTTTGTTTTTCAGTACACAGGACCTCATGCTTGCTACACAAATGCTCTCCCACTTGAGCTCCTCCACCAGCCCTATTTTTGTGTTGGGTATTTCTGAGAAAGAGTTTCTCAAACTACTTGCCCAAGCTGGACTTGAACTGAAATCCTCTGAAATCTCTGCCTCCTGAGATGCTAGGATTATAGGTGTAAGCCACTGGTGCTTTTTTTAAAATGTTTTTGAGACAGGGTCTTGTTCTGTACTACAAGATGGCCTGGAACTCAGTGTGTAGCACCAGCTGACCTGGGACTCGAAATCCTACTTTAGTCTCCTGAGTACTGGGATTGCAGGTATGCACCACATCCAGCAAACTTTTAGTTTTTAAAGGGATTCTTCTGAGCCAAGCATGGTTTTGCATGCCTGTAATTCCAGCATTTAGGGAGATGAGGCAGAAAGTTGCAAGTTGGAGGTAAGCATAGGCTCCACAGAGATATGATACCCTGTCTTAAAAGCACACACACAAAAAATCAAAAATAAAAGGCTGGTGGAGTGGCTCAAGTGGTGGAGCACCTGCCTAGCCCTGTGTTCAAACCCCAGTACCACCACAAAACAAAAACAAAATTATTCTCCTGTAGTCTGTGGAACTTACTGAAGTAATTCTGGTGGCTGAGTAGCTCATAGTATTTCAATCAACATGGGTAGACATTTTACCTTTCAAATTGAAATTTCAATTATTGTGTTCTCACAATGATGCACATTTAGATAAACTGGCAATTCTATCTCCAGCTGGGATCTAGGCCACAAATGGCAACTACTAAGTAGCATCAATTTGGTTTTGCTTTTATCTATACCCTCCCTCTCACATTATAGTAACAATAACTACAGTATCTCAAGGTTCCTAGCCTACAGAATTTCAAACCAGCAAAGCACAGATAAATTTAACAAAAGAAACCAAAAGAATTAGATAAATATTTGAGAGAAAAGTTTCCCAAGTTTTCTGAAATGCTTTGTTTCCCTCTATGTTCATCTCCTCTTACCTATCTTAAGTATTAAATTATGTGTATTAACTCCTCACTCCCTGGCCCCCTTTTCTGGTGGTACTGAGGCTGAACTCAGAACTTCAAGCTTGTGAAGCAGGTGCTCTACCACTTCAGCCACTCTGCCAGCCCTTTTTGCTTTGGTTATTTTTGAGATAGGGTATTGCTTTATGCCTGGGCAAGCCTCGACTGTGATTTTAGTATAGCTAAGATGACAGGTGCATACTACCTCACCCGGCCTTTGGAAATAGGGTCTTGTAAACTTTTTCCCAGGTTGGACTAGAACGGTAATCTTTCCTGTGTTGGCCTCCCAAGTAGTTGTAGTTACAGGCTTGAGGCGCCACACCCAGCTTCCTTTCCTATTTCTGTCCTTTTACTCTGGATATCAGATAATCCTATTTCTTCCCTGAATTATGTGCCTATCAACTGGCTACAGACCTCTAAAAAATATTAAGACAGCTTTTGAATATGCACTATAAACCAAGGCCTTTTTGATCTCGTATTTTCTACAAATCACATGTAGGTGCTAAGCACCATTTCTTCTACAAGAATTTTGTTTAAAATAACTAAGAAAGCCAGATGCCGGTGGCTCAAGCCTGTAATCTTGAGCTACTCGCCCAGCCCAGTAAGATATAAATTTTAATATCCACCAAAATCTCTATAGGGTATCATGTGGAAGGATAAATATCCAAGGTAATTTGTTATTTTATTTATTTATTTTTGCAGAGCTAGGGATTGAATACTCATGCTAGGCAAACACTCTTCCACTGAGCTACATCTCAGCCCAAGAAACATATTTACCAAGACCAAATATTTTTCTTCAAAATAATGTATCTCCATTTATCCAGTCTTTTAAATTATATATCCTTTGGAAGTTTGAAAATTTTCTTTATTAAAACTATCCATGAATTCGAATCCCAGTATCACAAAAAAATAAAGAAATAATAAAGTCTTTCTGTGCATAGTTTTTTTGGTAGTTCAGGGCTTGAACTCAAGGCCTCATGCTTGCTAGGCAGGCACTCTTACTACTTGAGCCACTCCACTAGTCCTTTTTTTTGTGTGATGGGGTTTTTCAAGATAGGGTCTCGTGAACTATTTGCCCAGGCTGGCTTTGAACTGCAATTATCCTGATATTTGCCTCCCAAGTAGCTAGAATTAACAGTTGTGAGCCACCAATGCCTGGCTTCCGTGCTTATTATACTTATTAAGTTTGTTTATTTTGAGATGGGGTCTTGCTATATAACCCAGGCTGGCCTTGAACTCACAATCCTCTTGTTTCAGTCTCCCAAGTGTACACCACCACATCCAGCTATTATATTTTTTCAGTTTTAAGTGGAGTTTCTTTCTTTTGAGGGGGAGTTCTTTTTGTTTTTCAAAACGAATTCTTTTCTTAATTAAATTTTTATATTAGTTACTCCTAGCAACTATAGGAGAGCTACTGAATTTGTATGTTCTACTTGAATTTTGCTATTTAACAGAATTCTCTTAAGCTTTTTAGGTAGGCTAAGGGTTGGCAAATTACAAACTTCATACTAAATTTGGCTCACTCCCTGTTTTTTTAAATAAAGTCTTGTTGGGACATAGCCGTGGTCTATTTGTTTGTGTGCTGTCTATGTGTTTTGACAGAATGACAGAGCTAAGTAGCTGTGACAGAGATCCCATGGCTCAAACAGCCTAAAATATAAGCCAGGCACCAGTGGCTTACGGCTGTAATCCTAGATACTCAGGAGGCAGGGATCAGGAGGATCACAGTTCGAAGCCAGCTCGGGCAAATAGTTTCGCAAGACCCTATCTCGAAAAAACCCTTCGCAAAAAAGGGCTAGTGGAGTGGTTCAAGGTGTAGACCCTCAGTACCGCCAGAAAAAAAAAAAAGCTACCCTTCACAAAAATGGGTTGCTACTTACATTAACATATAAATAATGGCAATTCTCGTATTTTTTTAAAAGCATTCACTCATTCATTTCTAAATGAATGACACTTCCAGTAAAATAATGAATAGAAATGACTGATAGAGGGCTTTTGCCTTGGAATACTTCTATTGTTTTATTACTAAGTCTGATGTTTACTACAGGTTTGTTTATTAAAGCTATCCATGAATTTAAATCTCAGTATCACAATAAAGTAAAGAAATAATAAGGTCTTTCCGTGCTTAGTTTTTGGTAGTGCAGGGTCTGAACTCAGGGCCTTTCACTGGGTTAAGAAGCTTTTAGAGCTTAAAATTTTAATTTAAAAGACTGTACTTATTCTGAGATTACAGAGTCTTTCCGTGCTTAATGTTTCTGGTAGTGCAGGGTCTGAACTCAGGGCCTTTCACTGGGTTAAGAAGCTTTTAGAGCTTAAAATTTTAATTTAAAAGACTGTACTTATTCTGAGATTATGTCCATCCCACTTTTTCTCTATGAAATAATAATATTAATGGGAAGTAGATTATTTTTAAAAACATCTATGTTCAGTGGGGAAAAAAAAGTTGACAACCACATACATATGTGTCTGTGTTTGTGTTGCTGAGATCAAACTCATCACTTCTCAATTCTAAGCAAGAACTCTACCACTGAGCTACATTCCTTGCTAAATAACCCATTTATTAGACCATGAAATCCAAAAGCCTAGGAAACACAAGGCTAACTGTTAAAGAGATTATGATGATATTAACAGCAGAAACTTTAGGTAGAGGTCATCCAGAGTACTGTTTTTCTTACTCAAAATTATGTAGAGACAGCATAAACCAGGCACATGGCTCACACCTATAATCCTAGCCATCTGGGAGCTGAGGTTGGGAGGCTCATGGTTCAAGGCTGGCCCGGGAATATGGTTTGAAAGACCCTATCTCCAAAATAACCAGAGCAAAACAGACTTGGAGGTATGGTTCAAGAGGTAGAGCACCTGGTTTGCTAGGGTGAAGCTGTGAGTTCAAAACCCAGCCCCACACACAAAAAAATTATGTATTATATCTAAGTAGAACCATATTTTAATCTTTTGTAATAACAAAGTAGACATTTTAAGTTAATAATACAAAGGAAGGAGATCAGGTGTGTACACAGTGTATAGCACTGTGGTAGGGGTAGAAGGAGATGGAGAGCTCACAGCCAGCCTGAGCTACATAGTGAGTTCTAGGCCAGCTTGGGCTACACAAGACTGTCTCACAAACAAAAACAAAGCAAAAGACGGAACAAGGACCATTCAGTTCTGAATATGTTAATATTAACAAATGGATCAATGCTAATAAACCTGTAATTTGAGGAAATATTTAGCTATTATGACCATTCCACATAATTGTTAAGTGTGTAACTGCACATCTGTTATACAAAAAAATTAACAAATAACACAATGACAATACTACTAATGCAGCATAAAAATTAAGAACCAATAAGTTTGTACTATATATATCAGAATTCACCAAATGTGGGGAATGTTTGTTGAGTATTCAAAAAGAATTAGGGATGGCGGATTGGCTGAAGTGGTAGAGCACTTGCCTGGCAAGCGTGAAGCCCTGAGTTCAAATCCCAGTAAGACCAAAAAAGAAAAAAAAGGAAGCAGCATGGTCAAAGTTTAGGAAATGCTGTCTGACAATGCATTCTAAATCTTTAGGAGAGGAAAGGTGATGTGAGTGATTCTCCAAATTTACTTGAGCATGGAATCCTTGTTTCTACAACCATTTCATAGGAATACAATGCAGGAAAGGCTGGATACAAATCTGATGTTGGGAATAAGTATTTCTAGTTTAATTAAACAGAGTTCATGGAGGGAGGCAAGATTTCAGGAAGACTCTAGAAGAAGAGAAAAATGTGTTTAAAAAGAACAAGGGCTAAGAGTATAGCTCAGTGGTAAAAAGCTTGCCTAGCATGCACAAGGCACTGGGTTCAATCCCTAATATCAAGGGGAAGAAGAAACAAACAAAAAACTGAGACACAGAGAGAGAGAGACAGAAAAGAAAGACGGAAAGAAAAAGAGAGAAAGGAAGAATGAGAAGGAAGGAAGGAACTGTATCAGAAGGAAAATTATAATGAACAATTTGGACAAAATATACTTGGATCTTCAAGCATGTGCAACTATTACAGTTTTTGCTAATGGGTGAAGAGAGAAACTAAAATTCTAAATTTTCTTAGATCTCAAAGAGTAGTAAGAATTCACTAACTTAGCACAATGTAACACACCAGGAACTGTTAAAAAGCAGGGTGGTTAAGAAAGAGAAATATTCTCAAGTGTAACAATAATATGATTAAAAAAAGACAGAAAAATATAGATGGGTGAATTTGATCAAAGTACATTTTATGCATGTTGCAAATATCGCAACAAAACCCCTTTGGACAGTTAATTTATGCTAACAATTTTTTCCAAAAATAATTACTTTACTTACTTCACTAGAGCAGCTGCTTCAGGAAGTACGTCAGCAAACGATTCACGGAATATGATTGCATTTTTCCTTTTACAATTCTGTATGACATCATTGGCAAGGTAAAAGAGGTTCAAACGATGGGGATATGCAGCTAGAGATGACAAAAGACAAAGGAAACAAAATGAGTCATGTTATACTTAGTTCAACATATTCCTAATATATTATTTTCAAACTGTTAAATGCTTTTTTATATAGATACAAAAGGATGAAAAGAAGGATAAATAAACAAATGAACCAATGGATCAGTTTATTAAATATACTAAAAACCTTGACTATTTCAGGTTAAGTTTCTGTTCAAGGTACTCAAGTAGATTGCCTTACTGTGTAGACATGATACTTTAAAAAAAAAACAAAACCCTTCTTCTCCCCTCCCAAAAAACTCCATTAACTCTAGAAAAGCAAAAATAAAACAAAACTGAGATGCATAAACTGGACTTGTTGCAGCAATGTACCAAGGTTAGTGGAAAGAGCAGGAATTTGGAATCTATAATCAGAATGTAACTATGCTATTGCTGAATAGTATAGACAGACCTTTTTTGTCAACTAATCTAGATACTACTCAAATGCACCTTCTAGTTACTAGCTCTGGGGCCACTTTCAGTGCTAGGTTAGTGTTCTGTAAATAATCTGATTCCATGCATACACCTAGCTTAAGCTTTCCAAAGACCCATGAGAAGACTCACTTTATTACCTAGAATCTTTATTTTGTTTTTTATATTATCTAGAATCTTGACTAAACCCACTCGTGTTTCATTATTATGCTGAGGAATTTCAATACCATGTTTTTCTAGTCTGTCAGGTTCCTGGATTTCAAATTGAGTGACCTCTAAGAACTACTCCTTATCCCTTCTCTGACCACACACTCCCATTCCCATTATACTTGTTCTTCAATTTCATTAAGACCTCAGTTCTTTAAAAAAAAAAAAAAAAAAAATCTCAGTTCTTTATTTTCTCTAACTCCTCAGTCTCTTCTACTACTCAATTATTTCTCCATCAATGCTAGAGTACTTGACACATTATTTAAACCATTCTTTTGTCAAAACTCTCTTTTCCTTCTTCACCTAATTTAGCTTTGTCATATGCATTCAACCAAATCCTAAATTCAGATTAATCTAACTGAATGCCTTTACTGTAGATTTGTTTTTGCTGTTGGGTTCTGTTGAAGAAAACTGTAGCAAGAGGAAGATCAAAACCATATAAATTCTTCCTCAGTTGGGCCCTCAACAGTATAATCCCTCCATATGCTCTTAATCAGCATCCTCTCATTTGCTGTAAGTTTTAAATTTATACCACTCACTCAGCTCTTTAACTATATCCCTTCCCACTCTCAGGTGATAAGCTTATATGCTATTTCAAAGAAAAAGCAGAACTCATCAGATGAGAACTATCGTCTCTCAAAAAAAATTAAGTATTAAGTAGTCCACCATTATGCTTACGAGTTACAAGACCACCCGTTTCCCCAGTGGGTGTCTGAAACCATTAATAGTAAAAACCTCCCATATAAAAGTGGTCTTTGAAGCCAGGGCTGGTGGCTCACACCTATAATCCTAGCTACTTGGGAGGCTGAGATCGGGAGAATTACAGTTCAAGGGAAAATGGCTCCCAGACCCCATCTCAAAAATAACCGGAGCAAAATGGACTAGAAGTAGACTGGTGGAGTGGCTCAAGTGGTAGAGCGCCTGCCTAGCAAGCGTGAGGCTTGGTGGAATGGCTCAAGGCATAGGCCCTGAGTTCAAACACCAGTGTCACAAAAAAAAAAAAAAGGACTGAAAGTGTGGCTCAAGCCACACTTGCTTTGCAAGTGCGAAGTCCTAAATTCAAACCCCAGTTCCACCAAAAGAAGAAGAAGAGAAAGGAAAATGCATTTAATACATCAAATCTACTGAATACCATAGTTTAGCAACAGTGTAGTGTTTACCCTCAGGACCACATGACCTTCTAAGAACTGTGGCTTGCTGCTGCTGACCAGCTTTGCAAGACTGTCATACAACACAGGGCTAGCCACGTAAGAGATCAAAATTAAAAATTCAACATGGTGTGATAATAGAGGCCTGTAATTCTAGCACTTGGGAGGCTGAGGCAGGAAGACTGAAAGTTTGGGACAAGCCTGGGCTACATGAGTTCCAGGCCAGCTCAGGCTACATATGGAGACTCTGTCTTTTAAAAAAAAAAAAAAAATCGGGCTAGGGGTGTGGCTCAAGAGTAGTAGGGCACCCACCTAGTGAACAAGGGGCACTGAGTTCAACCCTCAGTACCACAAAAAACAAAGACAAAAAAATCAAAAATCAAATTCAAAGTACAGTATCTACTGAACATGTATAACTTTTGCACCATTACAAGTTGAAAAATCTTAAATGAACCAACATCAGTTAAGGACTGTCTGTATACTATGCTTTTTCTTATAAATGCATATATAAATTGTATGCCTGTCACATTTGAACAAAGCACTTACTGTGTACTGGGATTAAAACCTTTGCAGTTTGAGGGGTGATAGCAAAATGTAGCATGAATTTCTTTAACTGTCACAATTTCATGGATAGAAGATTTGTTATTACTGTAGATGTTAGCACACTAACTCAGCACACAACTTTTTCTTTATTAAGTGAACAACTTCTATCTTTTCCCTTAAAGAAAACCTCTTACGGCTTTTCTTTGGCATATCCAAACTGCCAGCATCATCACTCTTGGCGCCATTATGAAATCAAATAAATGACACTTGTACACTAGTTGGCCATGGTAGTACATGACTGTAATCTCAGCGCTCATGGGAGACTAAGGCAAGAGGATTGATCTTAAGTTCAAGGTTAGCTTGAACAAGGGTACAGAGCAAGACCCTGTCTCTAAACAAATAAACAAAGCAAAAAAAGGGATACTTGTACATAGGTACTGCTCCTATACCCAAACAGGCTATCGATAATCCAAGATGCTACTAAATGACTTAACGTGTACAGTAGAACTGACGGGATGGACAAAGTGATGATTCACCTTCCAGGCTGCAGGGTGCACAATTTAAAATTTATAACTTTATTTCTGTAATTTTTCATTGACTATTTCCATGTCCTTGTTGACCAAGGGTAACTGAAATGTGCAGAAAAATCAGACTGTGGATAAGGGGAGTCTTACTGTACCCTTTTTTAAATTTATCCAGGTAAATTTACCTAGCTAAAAGTGTCAGTCTTCCTATTAAAGCGTAATCCCAGTACTGTGTATCCCTTCCTTCCTAGCTCCTCTTCACAAATTGGGAAAAGCATACTCCATCAACTATCCTTATTTCTTGTATTTTCCCTCCCTCCTGTCATTTTTTTTTTTTCCAGACTGGCCTCAAACTCTTGATCCTCCTGCCTCTGCCTCCTAAGTGCTGGAATTACAGCTGTGCACCACCACACTTGGCTTCTTGCACCAATCTGTATCTTATTTATGTATTTATATTCCTATGGGCTGTCTCCCAACATATTCATGTGTATGTCTCTCCCATTTTAAACAAGCATTCCTGTGACCACCTTAGGTTATCCTTAGCTTTTATAACTCCCTTTCCTTCTTTTAGTTAAAATCTCTTGGATTCAAGGATGTGAATGAGTTTTGTATACTGTCTCCACTTTAACTTTTTTTTTTTTTGGTGGCACTGAAGTTTGAACTCACGGCTTCATGCATGCAAGGCAGCGCTCTTATTGCTAGAGCCATTCTTCCTCCCCACTTTAACTTTTTAATCGTAGGAGCTATCTTTTTTTTTTTTTTACACTTAAAACCATGCAAACTACTACTATATGAAGGGCTTTATAAAAACTGTTATTGCATCTATATTGTCAATGCGTCAAACAGCAATTATCAAGGTTTCCAATAAATTCCAATTTATTAAACCCAATGGAGACTTTAAAAAATTATAAAAGTATTATTTTTTTGTGGCTTTTGGGCCACAGAATAATCTGTGTATAATTTTTCCTTTTGCTTCTGTCATAACCACTCTCCAATTTTCTTCCTTCCTCTCTGGCTCCTCCTCTACAGTCATATACAGTAGACAATCTTCTTATGATTGTCTTTTCAACTGCTGATGCTTCTTAGGATTTTCCCCTGAGTACTTTTCTCTATTTGCTTATGCTTAATGTTTTAAGATGTCAAGCTTTAAGTCAGATAGCAGTCTGCCCATTCCTGGCTATGTCACTTAATAGCTTTAGAGTCTTACATATTATTTAACTCTATGTCACGTTCCTTCTTTGTATAATGAAAACCTCACAGGCATTTAGTACAAGGCTTAGCACAGAAAATGGAATGCTGTCAACATAATCACCCACTTCTATGGCTTTAATTACTACCATGGATTAAGGGCTCCCACATCTATAGATTTCAAGCCTGGATTTCCCTCTACCAGTCAAGGTACATACTCACTTCTAAGTCTCTGAATCATGCTGAGAATGTTTTGGGGTTTTTTTTTTAGTTTTTTATTAATTATCTTCCTTTTCATCTGTTACTGCTCTTATGTTTAGCCAAAATTCTTTCTGACTCCTCGCCTCTCCAATCCCCACTTTAATTAATCTCAAAGTCTAGCCAATTTTGTTTCCAATACTATTTCTCAAATTTATAGTCTCCTCCTGCTATTCTTTGCTGGGTTTTATCACCTTTGATCTGGACTACTGTAGCAGCTCCCTAATTGGTTATGTTACTTCTGAATAAATTTATTTTCTCTCTCTGACTGGAATATGAACTCAGAGCCTAGCACTTGCTAGGTAGGTACTCTACCACTTGAGCCACACACCCCAGCCCTATTCTCTGTATCATTGCTAAACTTATCTTCTACAATGCAAACATATCCAATTATTTCTCATATCAAAAATTGGGAATGACTTCCCACTGCTTCCTGCAAACAGCTGAAACTCCTTTAGGGCTGCTTTTTTTTGTGTGTGTATTGGACTGGGGTTTGAACTCAGTCAGGGCTTTGTGTTCACAAAACAGGCACTCTACTGCTTGAACCACACCTCCAGTCCATTTTGTTCTGGTTATTTTGGAGAGGGAGTCTCATGAACTGTTTGTCAGGGCTGGCCTCAAACCACAATCCTCCCAATCTTACGTTTCCCAAGAAGCTTGAGCTACCTGTGC